AAAAGCCTTAAGTATGCAAAGTTTGTGGCAGGCCCACTCTCACAGTTGGCATCAGAAGTGAATTGACTAGAATTGAGGAAGGAGACACAGGAATCAGGGATTCCCTCCCCCCTTTGTCATCCAGTGTGCATCTCAATAGTAGAGAGAAGAGGCCAGCATAACCTCCTGAATCTCCTTCCTGAAAATAACACGCTTGGTCTTGGAGAAACTCTCCGGAAGACACTGTTTTTACTTAATACAAGATCAAACATAGAACCTTTTTACGTATGAGTCCTAAAACTGTAAACCGGAACCCTTTCAGATGTGATTCCTGAAACTGTAAACTGAAACCCTTTTCATATGTGATTTCTAAAGCTATAAACCAAGGATTCTTCCACGTGTAATACCTAAAGTATAAGCCTATATAAAGGCAGAACCTCCCTTTGTTAGACGAGCTGAATTTGGACAGATCGTTTCCTCAGCTCCCGACTGTAATAAACTCTTTCCTCTGTATTCAGTGTTTGGGAGATCCGTTTCCCATGGCTGCTCCTGCTACAGAATGACCCTGACTCAGGCAAACCTATGGTTTGGGAGGAGGAAGACTGAGAGGGCAGGGAAAATAAATCATTGATTTCTGCATGGCAACAGCGTCATCTATGACAGCAGATTGCACCTGTGCACGTCAAAGTTACTAACAGAATTCATAAGTGATGGATTCAGCTCATGATTTGGAGGCTCACTGGAAGCAAAAGGAAATGCACAGGACCAAGAAAAGGCTAAATATACAATCCCCTGGTTATTTTCATCTGTAATACCTCAAATGAAAGCAAAGTCGAAGGTGAGTGTGGATTCCGGTATCAGGTGAAGCTTAGATTCTGAGTGATCCAAGTCACTGATCTCAGGGTCACTCCCAATGGGAAAAGGCATAACAAGAGTAAAGTAAGACACCTGGGGTAGAGCCTCTCCTGGGCCAGGCTTAAAGGTCTGAGCTGCAGCCCCCAGCCCCAGGGCCACTACTAAATAGAAGAGTTATGCTTGAACAACGGACGATAAAGAGACTTACAGTGATTCAAAAGAGAATAGGAAAAAAATGGGAGAGTTGTGGTGGGCGAAGGCACCCCATCTAGGAGGACAGAGATCTCTCAGTGATTATTACGATGTGGGAAGAATAAAAAGAGCTTCAGTGGGCTCAGAATAAGGGTCTTAATGCAGCACCTTTGGACATTCGGTGCCGCAATGTGAGTCACTGGCAGTTGTCCAATACTGAAGGGTCCGCAACTAATCTGTTTATTCACCTTCCTGTGTGGAAATTTTAAAAGCCAGAGAGGGCAAAGATGACAATGAGAAACCAGACTTCCAAGTGCCTAAGGTGACTGATGTTCCCTTAATTTACTTACAGTAAAGATTGACAAAAGGGCCTGAGTCTCTTGGCACAACAATGGGTGGAGACCCATGAACATAGGCAGGTAGTGTGTAACGTAGGGAGTGGAGAAAACTGTCTCCGACGCCTCACTGTCAATGAAAACCAGCAGGTTTAAGACCTCATGTGAAGTGGATGCAACTCTCAGAGGAGATAACAGGAAAGCCTTCCCTTGACCAAGCCTATTGTGGTCAATACCTAGTTGGTGCTCTAGGCCTGATCATGTTTAGGTTTATCCTTTCTGTCTTGTAGCTTTTAGAGGATTCTTGGAGCTCCCTCCTTCCCTATGCTGAGGATCTGTCACCTACCTTCTCACAGATAATGCACTCTCAGGGTGGACATTTGTTCTTTCTCTTTGGTCCCTGATTCCTTGATGCAGCTTGGAGATGCACTGCACAGGTGCCTGACTCACACCTGAGAAACTCAAAGAGGAGACGCTGCTGAAACAGCCTATGGCCGCAGAGTCAGGACTGCCAGTGGGGAAAGTGTGTCCCCATTGAGGAGTCAAATGCGCATGCACATCTCTGAATGGTCTCATTGTCGCCCCTCTCACTAGGCTTGAGGTGAGGGGCAGACACCGTGGGTTAATGGGATTCATGGCATAGCTTTCTCCAAATAAGTTCTCTTCCTCTTATTTTCAAATCTTAATTTTTTATGTTACCAGTGTAATGAGAGCTTAAGTGTGTTATGATAGTTTCCAGAAACAGCTTTGCAAATTTTGCACAAGGAAGTTATTTCCCAAGAGATTTCATTGTATCTTCTAAGTGCCTTAGCGTTTGTGAAGGATCTCCTGATATGTGTAGGTGACAAACAACCATGAATTCAGTTGTGTGTTGTGGGCAAGTGTACAGACGATGGAGAGAGCGGAAAGGCTCGGCTGTTTTCTTCCCTAGATCTTGGGTTTTCTCAGTATATGACTTGGAGCATAACTGGAGGCTGGGGGTTGCTTCCTGTACAGACCTCCGTGATAAAGTGAAATCCATTACTTTTCTGGCTTTGTTCTTTAGCACCGGGACGGAATGTTTGGGAAAGCGGCATAGGTTGCATTGTGAATTAGACCTCAATTTGTAAAAGAGATAAAGAGAAGAGAGGTGGGGGTTGGAGCCAGAAAATATAGACAATTATCTTTTAAAAAATTTGCTACAAGGTAGACCAAAAAATGGGATGGTACAGGAGGGAGTGTGAGTCTGCAGGATTATTTTATGTTTTGTTTCTATCCTGTCCCATTTCCATGGTAATTTCAGGATGAGTTTATCAATTCCTGCAAAAAAATCCAGCTGGACTTCGGTAGGAATTGCATGGAGTTGGTAGAATAACTTGGAAAATATTGGCATCTTAGCAATAGGAAATCTTCTCATTCAAAAGGATGGTATGTTTTTCCATTGATTTCAGCCCTCTTTAGCTTACTTTAGCAATATTTTGCATTTGGGGGGCAACTGCCTTGCACTTTTCTTATTAGTTTATTCTTAAACACTTTTCCTTTAATCCTGTTACAATAAAATTGTTTTACTTTATCTTTTGATTGCTCATTGCTAGCATAGAAAACCATAAACATTTCTGCATATTGATCTTTCATTTTGCAACCATGCTGAACTTGTTAGCCTTAATAGTTTCTTGTGAATGCCTTTGAATTTTCTATGCATGTGACGATGTCATTTTAAATAGAGATAGTTTAAATTCTTTGCTTTAAATCTGGGCAACTTCTCCCTGTTTTTCTTACTTAATTGTTCTGGATAGAACCCAGAGAACAATGTGGAATGCCAATGTTGAAAGCAGACACCCTTGTCTTGTTGCAGAAATTAGGGGAAAGCTTTCTATGGTTCACTATTACATATGAGGTTAGTTGCATTTTTTTTTTTTTGGTTTTTCTTCTTGAGACGGAGTTTTGCTCTTGTTACCCAGGCTGGAGTGCAATGGCGCAATCTCGGCTCAGCGCAACGTCTGCCTCCTGGGTTCAGGCAATTATCCTGCCTCAGCCTCCTGAGGAGCTGGGACTACAGGCATGCGCCACCATGCCCAGCTAATTTTTGTATTTTTAGTAGAGCTGGGGTTTCACATGTTGAACAGGATGGTCTCGATCTCTTGACCTCGTGATCCACCCGCGTCAGCCTCCCAAAGTGCTGGTATTATAGGCGTGAGCCACCACGCCCCGCCAAGTTACATATTTTTTTTATAAATGTCCTTTATCAGGTTGAGGAAATTTTTCTCAATTCCTGCTTATTCAGTGTTTTTTCATCATGAAAAGGTGTTGGATTTTGTCAAATACTATTTTGTTATACTGAAGTGATCATCTATTTCAACCCCTTTTATATCTATTAATATCTTTTATGATATTGATTGATTTTTGTATATTGAGCCATCCTGTGTTCTTGGGCTGATTCCCACTTGGTTGTATTGTGTAAGTTTTTCATATGTGGGTGGATTTCATTTTGCTCGTATTTTCTTGAGAAGTTTCTAAGAAATACTGACCTGTGCTTTCCTGTTGATATCTTTGTCTGATTTTGGTGTCAGTGTAATTTTATCTTTACAGGAGGTGCAGATATCAATTTCTATTCTATTTTTTGAAGAATTTGTGAAGGATTGGTCTTAGTTTTCTATTAGGCATTTGGTATAGCACCACAGTGAAGCCATTCTGTTTTTACTTTATGGGGGTGTTTTGATTATTAATTCATTCTCTTAATTGTTAAAGATTTATCTTAATTTTCTACTTCTTCTTGAGTCAGTTTTTATAGCATCTGCCTTTCTAGAAATTTTTCTTTTTACATTTATTATTATTATTATTTTGAGATGGAGTCTTTCTCTGTTGCCCAGACTGGAGTGCAGTGGCACAATCTCAGCTCACTGCAACCTCTGCCTCCCAGGTTCAAGCGATTCTCCTGCCTCAGACTTCTGAGTAGCTGGAATTAAGGTGTGTGCCACCACACCTGGCTATTTTTTGTATTTTTAGTAGTAACAGGATTTTGCCTTGTTGGCCAGCTGGTCTCAAACTGTTGACATCAGGTGATCTGCCCTTCTTGGCCTCCCAAAGAGCTGGAATTACAGGCATGAGCCACCACACATGGCCTGGAAATATTACTAACTAGTTTATCTGCTTTTTACCATATCATTGTTCTTAGTACCCCTTCATAATATTATGTACTTCTGGGGAACATAATTTATACTTTCATTTACACATTCCTTATTTGTTTAGTATCCATTTAATGTCAGTGATATACAAAATATTCATTCTACATAGCTGTGTTCCTCTATCCTTGTACTGTCATTGTCATATAATTACATGTTTTACCTCGTGTATTCATTAACACATAATTTTTGCGTTAGGTAAGCTTATTTTAGGTGACCTAAGGGGCAAAGCTATTATAAATAAATAAAAACACTAATATTGTCGCTTATATTTATCTGGTCAATTAGCCTTACCTGTGCTCTTAATTTGTTCATGTAGATTTCATTGACTCTCTAGTGCCTTTGGTTCAGACTGAATGACTCCCTTTGTATTTGTAACACTGCAGATCTGCTATGTGTGAAGGATAGTTTTGCAGGACAACACATTCTTAGTTGCAAGATTTTTTTCTGAATACTTTGCACATGTCATTGCAGAGCCGGCTGGCATTCAGAGAATTCACTGCTGATCTCATTAGCGATCCCTTGAACATGCAGCGTGACGTTTTTATTTCCGCTTTGAAGATTCTCTGTTTGACTTTGGCTTCGGATATCTCATTTTGATAAGCCTATGTTTCATTATCTTTCAGATAACACTACGTGGAGGTCAGTGAACTCTTTGATTGTGTAATTTAGTGTTTCTCTTTAAAATGAATTTGAGAGCAATTTGAGGTGGGGATGTCTCACTCATATCCTTCTAAAGAAACAAGCATTTGGGAACCTTTTATAGAAAAAAGCACAGTTGTGAGTGCACTGGAATTCAGGTCAGAGGTAGCAAACCTTAGGAGAGCCCAGGAATGAAGACGGCTGTTTTGAATAGTTATTTCATGTGTAAGGACAGAAGAAAGCCACTGAACTCAGAAGGGGCATAGCCCAGACTTGCTCTCAGAGGGAGACTTCTGCACCAGACTGTAGGCTGACACCGGTGACCAGGGACAGCTGGGGCTGAGCTGTACACCCAGGGGAGCAGGTAAGTGTCGGGGAAGGGTGTGTGTGAGAACGGCAAGCTGGTTGTGCATGCAGGGAGGGTGCCTTTCTAATATGCTGTCAGAAACATCACAGAATGTGCTTTTATTTCTTTTGCGATTACGTATTGAGTGTGTACGATATTGTAGGGACTGAAAGGAGACGAAAGAGCTGAATGGCTTTCTCTAGAATGGTGGCCTGTCTCCCGAGTAGTAACTTGCTGACCCTGCCCCTGAAGTGAAAAAGAGGGTGAAGGGCTACTTGCTCAAGCTTGTTCTCTTTTCTTACCTCTTCCCCCTCTGTGGTTTCCTCTGCCGCTGAACAGGGCCCAGGCAGCCTGCCATGAGATCGTGCTCCAAGGACCGGCCGTTCTGCTGGACCCACGGGCTCCTGGTATTCATCAGCCTGCTCCTCAGTGAGTGACGGGGTCCGTGGGGATGGAGGCCAATTGGGTCATCTGGGCTAGCTGTGTCATGACCACTAAGTGAGCTGTTGAGGTTCAAATGTCTTTGGCAACAAAAAGAGAAAAACGCTCTGTTGTGGTTAAAAATGCAGCATATTTGGTTTGAGCCCTGAAGTGGAAAGAAAAGAAAGACTTTTTGGTGGTGAGGAGGCTGGGAAACCTGAGCCAGGGCTGTCTTGGCTGCATTGAGGGAAACTTAACCATTCATTGCCTGGGCTTAAGGCTGAGCTCCAGCCAAATCACAACGGAGAGGGCCCTTGAAGGTCTCAATGTTAAAATTGTGTTAGTAATTTGCGTTTGTGTTCACTTTAAAAGTTAAAAAGAAAGTATCTGTGGGTAAAATGTGTCTATAGCAGGCGCCTTTCACATCCCTGTGAGTTGCTTTTTCCTCCACTCGGAAATGCTGTTCAGACTCTCAAATGAAACCGTGTTTATCACAGCACCGTTTTAGGAAAACCCTGGAAAGAAACAGGAGGTGCCCATTAATTCAGGAGCATGTGAACAAGTGGCAGAGTCTCTGTACCATGGCGTATGATGGAGGCTTACAAAAACAAATGTTCTAGTTGTCCGGAATGTTCAACTTCCATGGAGTAAGGCGAATAGATTTCCATCAGCACGATGCAGGAAACTAAACCCAATAGGATCTTCACTTTATAAAAGGAAAGGCAGCCACCAAAATTTAAGTGTTTATAACCTACGTGTTTCTAAGACTATGCTAAAAATGTGGAGGAAATCAGTAGTTTGTCAGCTAGGGGAGGGATAGGGGAGGGCGTAAAATTGTGGAAGAAAATATGAAAGGGGAAAAAGTACAGAACACAGAATGCTAAGCAAAAAAAAAAAAAAAAGAACCTGAGAAAAGGATTATCCTAATCTCGGCTGTCTGTCAGGCTGTAATCTAGGCTGTATTTAGGAATGCTCAAGCTCCGCACACAGTGAAGTGAATTTTTGTCTCTGGTCTCTGGATTACCCCTCTTTTCCCGTTGATCCTTGATTCAGGGAAAGGAATGCGTGGTGAAGCAATGCTAATGAAAATGGGGATGAGGAATTCGCCTTCATCATTCTCAAACTCTTGCCCCCTTCCTAAACATGTGTTTCAATGGGAAAATGTGGAAGGGAAATAGGGAGCCTGAGGGTGGCTCAGGTCACATCTAATTTCCCAGGGACACAGGCAGCAGCAGATGAGGGTGGTCTTCGACTTTTGGGGTCCCCCCGAACATTACAATACCAGGATTTACTAAGTGCCCAGCCCATGTTGCAAGCATGGATCTGGGGGAGAAAGAGTCTCTGCATTAGGGGCTCCAGACAGACAGGAGACAGTGGAGACGGCACCAGGAAGTGCAGTCTGGGCATCACATATGGACTGCTGGTTTGTGAGTGTGGGGATGGGGCTGTGTCAGACAAATGAGGAATATTTTATGTTGTTTACAGAGCTTGAAATTTTATACATTTTAATGAATATTTAGCTCCACATTATAAATGACCACCCACTACCTGGCTTGTTTTTCATTCTATAGTTCAGAGAGCTCCGGCTGCCTTCCTTCTTGCTCTCAGTGTATTTTCTTCTTCCTTCTGTGCTCACCATCACCTTCTGGGGCAGATCCTCCGGAAGCCTGAGGGCTGAGCCTCCTCTCTCCCTGGGTCCATTATCCAGGAAGTTGTCTGTTTAGGCTGGCTGTTTAACCATCTGCTAGCCAGCAGTCCGTGCTCTGCTCAGCCACTGAAAGTATCTGCTTCGTCTGCTCAGGAGAAGGCGTTTGTGGTTGAGACCCTGGCAGCTGCTCAGGTCCTGGTGGGCTCAGACAATAGTGCAGCTGAGCTCTGGGGAAAGCAGGTGAGGATGGAAGAGCACATGGACAGCGTCCAGCAGTGGGGAGAATCTGAGCTGGGAGAGGAAAGTGGGCTCCAGGTTTTCCTCTGCCCTGTGTTACCCAGGACAATTCTTTCCTCTAGAGACACCCCTCCTCTGTAAAAGCAGGGGTTAGGCAGATGATTTCTGACTCCCTTCCAGCTGCGTGGTTCTTTTACTGACTCCTGCGGCTTTGTTAAGGTTTCTGCGCTGTCTCTTCCATCCTGTCCTCTTCTATCTTGCGGCCTGACAGGCACTCATAGCTGGTAAGCCTGTTTTGGGCTCCTTCAGAGAGAAGACCACAGGCTTTCTCTGTGGCCACTTCCTGTGCCCTCAAGTGAGGAAACAACTCACCGTCACGCCTCCTTCACTTGATCCCCTGCTTTCTCTGCCTCTGCTCCTGCGAGGGGTTTGGAAGACACTGTCTTCAGGCCACATGCTGAAGGACATTGTTTGAGTCTGTTCTCACACTGCTATAAAGAAGTACCACAGGCAGAGTAATTTATAAAGGAAAGAGGGGACAAACATCCAACTCCTATCAGTGAGACGGCGCCCTGTCCAGTCCTGCCTAGGACCATAGAAGAGAGGTAGCAAGTGTCAAGAGGCAGAGGTGCTGGCTCCCTTTACCTTCCACGGTGACTGTGAGTCACCTGATACCCCTGCCAGAAGCACATGTTGGCACCGCACTTCCTGTACAGCCTGCAGAACCCAGCACATTTTAAATAGCTTTTCTTTTTTTGGGGGGGGGACGGAGTTTTGCTCTTCTTACCCAGGCTGGAGTGCAATGGCGCAATCTCGGCTCACCGCAACCTCCGCCTCCTGGGTTCAGGCAATTCTCCTGCCTCAGCCTCCTGAGTAGCTGGGATTAGAGGCGCGCTCCACCATGCCCAGCCAATTTTTTGTATTTTTAGTAGAGAAGGGGTTTCACCATGTTGACCAAGATGGTCTCGATCTCTTGACCTCGTGATCCACCTGCCTTGGCTTCCCAAAGTGCTGGGATTACAGGAGTGAGCCACCATGCCGGCCTTAAATAGCCTTTTTTTATAAATTACCTGGCCTTAGGTATTTCTTTATAGCAATGCAAAAATGGACTGACAAACCCGTTAACCGGCTGATGTGGATCCTGAGGCCTGTGACCCTCGGGCTAAGGGGTGCTGAGCCTGGGTGGGCCTAGCCCCTTGAGGGAGCTGAAGGGAGGGGTGAGGCCTGGCCTAGCGGAGGGGCCCGGTGAACTGAGGTAGTGAATAACCACAAACAGAAATATTAGAAACACTCATACCTCAGGATTGGCAGGAGCTATTCTCTGCTTCCAGTGAGGGCCAGAGTTAGGTATGAGGACAGCAGGAGGGTGCAGGCTGGAAATAAGGAGAACTTTATTCATTAGGGAGAGCCCTGGGTGTCCTGCCACTCAGCAGCAAACCCAGATGGACCTGAGCTGCTGAAGAAAGGAGGCGGTTCTTTCTTCAAAGGACAAGGGTAACTGTGGCAGTTTCCCCAGTCCAGACTGGTCCCACCCCGGTTCCCAGAAAGAGAGAGATCTCTGAGTTCACTTGGGGCTGTGAGTGTTGAACCAGGAAGGGCTCAGGAGGAGGCAGAGCTGAGGTGGCTGTGCCCACTGGTCAGGGCTCTGTGGGAGACAGTGACTGAGGGAGAATGACCAGGGGACCCGGGGGCACTGCGCAGGGAAGTGCTCTCCTGGTGGCAGAAGCACAGTGCCAGCAAACAGTCCATCTGGTCTGTGGCAAGTGTCAAAGTCCCCCGCACTTTCAGTCCCTTCCAGTGAGCAGGGTCTCCTGACTAGTTCTGTCTAGAAAATATGGGCAGAGATTACGTCACTTCCGAGCTGTGCAGTGAAAGCCCCACAGGAGCTTCTCTTGACTCCTCCCTTCCCTACCATGGGGGCTGAGGAGGCTGTGAGGAGGCTGTGGGTTCCATATGGGGCTCCTACAAGGTGTGGAGCCCCCACCCATGTGTCAGGGACCTCACTGTATCTTATGGAGCATGTAGTTTAATTAATATTCAAACTCCCTTTATTCTAGGTCCCTCAATTTGGTTGTTTGTTGCCGCAGGATGACCTAATTCACTTCCCATCCTATCCGGTCCTATTCTATCGTAATTAGTTTCCTTCCTAGAAGGTAAGGCAAAGAGAGACAATCTTCATCTTTGCTTTAGTTATGTATTGTTGTGTGAGCTGTCACTCTAGAATTAGTGGGTTAACGCAACACGGGGTCTGGTCTCACAGTTTAAGGAGATCAGCATCCAGGTGTGGTTCAGCTGGGTCCTGTCATCCAGGTTGCAGAGACTAGAATGAAGGTGTTGGCTGAGGCTGCCCCCAGCTCCCTGCCATGTGGGCCTCTCCACAGAGCAGCTCACAGCGTGGTAGCTGACTTCATCAGCCTGAGCAGGAGAGAGTGACGGAGACAGAGGGTGTGAGCCAGACAGAAGGGACACTCCATCACCTTTGCTGCATTTGCAAGTAATCAGTGCCGCCCATACTCCAGGGGAGGGCATTCCACAGGGCTGTGCACACAGTGGGGAGGCGTCCTTGGGAGCCACGTTAGAAGCTGCCTCCTGCAGTTATGCACTTAGCATATGTCAGAAAATGTGCCAGGTGCTTTTGATCTAGGATCTCATTTGATCCTTACTGTCATTATGGGGCAGGTAAGAAAACTGAAGATCTAGATGATTTTTTTGCCAATCTCTGGGATCAAAAAGAAAAAAAAAAAGAAAAGTGAAGATCGGGGTGTTCAGGAACCTGCTCAAGATCACACTCCACTAGAACCAGAACTTGAGCCAGAATCGCTTCAAATTTCTTACACTTGGAAGCCCTCCCAGAATCGAGAAAGGATTTGGGATGGATTTCTAGGACTCTGAACCAAAGGTCTGTGTTTCTCTCATTTGTTCTTGATGAGAAGATACTGATGGTTTTTGTCTCCATGCCCTAGGTGTCTGCAGCTCTGCAGCCAACACTTCCGGAGCGCATGGCTCTGCTGTGAAGGATTCTGAAAACCACATTTATCTGAAGCGCATCCGAGGAGGTTCTGTCTTGTTTAATGTGACCGAGAAGCCCATGGCAGATGCAGGAGCCGAAATACAGGAGGTTTTATGGGGTTTGGGCACTCCGTCAAAGCACAGGCGGCTGCTGCAAGTCCGTAGAGGAGCCGACTCTCCCACCTGGGTTAACGTCCAGGACAAGTTCAAGCAGAGGGTCCATGTGCCCAGCCTGTGGTCTCTGAGGATTGAGAACCTGGCCCCTGAAGACACTGGGCCATACGTGGCCATGACCAGCTTAACTGATGGACAAATGCTTGGCCAGGTTTTCTACCTGACTGTCTATGGTGAGTGACACGCTCCCCCATCCTCTGGCTTCCCTGCCTTTTTTGTCTCTAGAGAGTCACTTAGGCCCCATGCAGGGTTGCATTCAAACACTAGCCTTCAGACTCGATTTTCTCCACCAAGAATAAGGCACATGAGGTCCCCAGAATAGACAGGAGAGCTGAGATTCATACCAGAGAATGAAGTTCCCTCAGCGTTTTGGGAGAGGAAATGGAAATTCAGCTAAATAGCCATTTTCCCAGGAAGATTAATCATATGTAAGATGATTTGCATAGCAGTATTTTATTTCAGATGTAACAAATTTCCAAAAATTATTGACTGAAAGCAAGAAAAATTTATTATCTCACTGTGCTGTAGGCCAGAGGTCTGACAGTCTCTGTGAACTAAAATGAAGACGGGGCTGTGTTCTTTCTGGGGTCTCCAGGGAAGAGCCGGTTCTTTTGCCTTCTTCACCTGCTAGTGGCTGCCGGCATCCCACGGCTTATGGCCATCGTCCTGTATCTTCTAACAGAACACTGATGTTAGTGTCCTACTAGGAGTGTCGGGATAATCTCCCTATTTTAGGTCAGCTGATTAGCAAACTTAATTCTATCTGTGACCTTAATTCCCCTTGCCTCGCAGCCTCACCTATTCCCAGGTTACCAGGACTGGGTCCTAGACATTTTGGAGGCCACTGTTCTGCCTCCCACAGTTGGGAATCCCTGTGAATGGAGTCCTCCCAGTCTGCTCTTCTCTCCCTCAGTCCCAGGCCAGCCTCAGTCACTCAAACCACCACAAATCCACATCTCACAGGCTTTGTAGGTGTAGGAGAAAGTTTATACCACAGCACATCTTAGGAAACTCATTTACCAGCTCATTCTTTCCCTAAAGTTCCTCTCTGCACAGGGAAATATTCTGCCATGGAGAGAGTGGCTTTTGCAATTCTCAGTCCCATGTGATTTCTCAGGCTGGCCTATGAGTCTGACTCTTCTGTCTGCACCACAGGTTCAGTGCACTCTCTAAGCACACTGAGTCATTGACCACAGGTTCAGTGCACTCTCTAAGCACACTCAGAGTCGTTGACCACAGATTCAGTGGCACTCTCTAGGCACACTGAGTCATTGACCACAGGTTCAGTGCACTCTCTAAGCACACTCAGAGTCGTTGTTTCCAGGCCCTATCACTGCATCTCTCACAGACGTGTGTACTTTTCTGATCAGGGACCTTTCTCTGTCCTTCCAGAGAGCTGGCCTAATGTCCTGCCCCATAAAGGCTGTGCAGTCCCAGGCATGGCCTCAGCTGGAGATGCGGGAGAACACTGGGCCAGCGCAAGCCCATCGTCCCCAGACCTCTTCCTCTTCCTGAAAAGACCTCGGTTTTCTGCAAATGCTGTGCTTTGGGAAGGGGGACTTTCTTCTTTATTTTCCTTAGGACAGTTTTAAGACCTATTGAATCTAGAGAACCAACATGGAGCTGAACTCTGTGGCTTCCCTCCTTGTGTCATTAGCTCTGTATTTATTTGGGCAAGCAGTGTTTTATCTGTAGAATACACACACTTGCATGCTGTGGCTGCAATGAGAAAATAATGAGGAATTGTGATGTACAATGTTCTCCATGCATGTGAGAGTCCCCTCTTTTGTCTCCTTCTGCCCCAGAGCCTGTGCCTCACCCTGAGATCCTGGCCATGTCACTGTCTATCACACCAGGCCTGTGTAACATCACTCTGGAGTGTAGGGTTCCAGGGGCCACCCAGGATCTGAATGTGACTTGGGAGAGCAAGGGCCTCTTCAGTGAGCTGGAACAGAGAGACACACCAGGATCAACCGCCAAGCTTTGGACCCTGGCTGTGAGCCTGCCCCTGAGCCAGCAGATCGGCGATGTCACCTGTGTGGTCAGCAACCAGGTGGATCAGAAAGCTGCGACCTTAGACCTTGGGAAAGTCTGTGCCCAAGGTGAGTGGTGAGTGTAGCCTGCAAGATAGGAGGGGCTGTCTGAGCTCAGGTAGCATCGGGGTCTGACAGTTCTGGGATCTCTCCCCACCATGAGCATCAGCACCACCTTCTACCTGCTCACACGGACAGCACTGTGGGAGTCACCTCCACCTGACTTTGCCTGGAATCCTCCCTCCCATCTATACCCTCCTTGCCATGCCCCACAGCCTCCTTCCAGGAGCTCTCCCACCCCATCCATATTCCGCTGAACAGCCAGAGTAGGCTTTGGGAAAAGAGGGTCAGGTTGGGTGGTTTCTGTGGTATATGTGGGATCTGGCCTCCAGATATTCCCCCATGGAATTCAGGGCTCAGATGCTCCTCTGCCCACATTTCTGGCCTCACGTATGCACTTCACAACAAACTGCTTGCTTATATTTCCCAAAATATGTCCTGCTTCTTGTAAGCTTCTCAGCTTCTGAACATGATGTTTTACTCCATCAGCCCTCCCACACCTTGTGGCCAAGACTTCCCTTTTAATTTTTTTCCAAGCATTCCTTTCGTCCATGGTCATTTTATAGGCATGAGACAGGTGCAGCTACACAGGATCCCTGACGTAGCAGCATTCTATAGTTGGTTAAAATACTGCCATTGCTGCCTGGAAGTTTTTAATCAAGGGAATTTGAATTTGCATTACACAGTGCCCTGAAAATGATGTATGTTTCTGCAGTCAGGCCCACCTCCTGAGGGAGCTGTCCATGGCAGCCCACACTGAGCAGTATGATGTGCTGCCCTGTAGACTGCAACACCTTGATGTTTTCCTTCGAATCCCTGTGCCAAGCACAGCTCCTGTAACACTTGCTCACAATCAGTGTTCACTGAATGAATGAATGACCTGATACCGTGTATACAGCCTAGTCCTCTCCAACTCTTCCTCCAGGTTCTGCTGGGATATCTGATGTGTCAACATGTCTTTAAATCACCCTGACTCTATTAAGCACTTAGTGTGACCACAAGGCCCTCTGGGCACCGACTCCTTCCTCCCTCTGACTCTCCTTGTCATGATTCCTCCCTGTCCTGCCCCTCTCATGCTGCAGTGGGGTGATGGCAAATCCCATAGATGGTGTCTTGATGCAGCCATTTCCCGACCTTGGTGCTCCTATTTCCTGGAATGCCCCATCCTTAATATCTGAAAATCTCATAGTCCCCCCTGAAGCCTCAGTTTAGCCAGCATCTCCTCTGGAGGCCTGCCCTGAAGACCTTGTACAAGGTGGAAACCTCTATTGCAGCTGCGATCCCTGTGTCTGGCAGTTGGTATTCTCTGTCTTCCCTCCTGTGTGCTGGGCTGCTGTGCACATTTTCTTGTGCATCTCAGCATCCCTGGCACTAAGCAGCAGCTCCTAACCAGTTGAATGAATGGACCTGCCATGCTCCTCCCTCTGCAGCTTCTGCACCAGCCTCCTTCCCACTTGTCCACCTGCTCTCCCCCCTTGTCTTTCCTTTGGCAGTCAGTGTCTCAGATGATCTCCTGTCTTAACATTTCCACTCTCCCCATGTGACTGGAACAGGTTTACACAAACAGGATGTGACTAGACTGCTGCCAGGCATCCTAGGGGCTGCTGTGGCTGTGCTGTTAGTCCTGGGAAGTGGGCTGTATGTTTTGAAGACATGTCAGAAGAAGAAGAAGATGGTGATGGAAATAAAAAGGAGTAAGTTGCATTTCTCCTGACATGCCCAGACACCTCCCTTCCCTCACTAAAACCTCAGCTTCTTTTTTTCTGAATATTATTCCCAGGGAGTGGACTCTGCTGAGGGAATGATGGGCGTGGTCTTGGACTTGGGGTTCATGGCAGTGGGGAGGGCTACAGGTTTGTAAGACACAGATTCGAGCTTTGATTTTGTCAGGTGGAGGATTGCAGAAGAACCATGGGGTTGATGATGGTGGCATCCCCTTTGAGACGCTCAGCCAGCAAGTGCAAGGTGAGGGCAAGGGCAAGGTGAGTGCCGGGACACTGGCCACCCTGGGAACTCCCATGTCTCTCTGCCCAGCCTTGGGCTTCCAATTTCAGGACCTGTCATTTCTGGTCCAACTGCCTATTTATCTATATCTGGATAATCAACAGTATTGACTAAGAAAATTTACATCTGGGTGGATGTAGTGCTGGGCACTTTAGAGGAATTCATAAGCAGTGCATGGCCGTGGGTACTGGCCCTGCAGGTCCCTGCAGATTCATTCCATCCTTCAGCTAATCCAGCAACTTCTGTGTTGTATTTCAGAGCATCGGTGAACAATATCTGGGAAAAAAGGAATCTCTCATTACTACCTGCAGTGAGGTCTGTTATCCAGACCAGACGATGGAGATCATTTGATTGCAGGAAGCAGGAGGATCTGGCACTCCCAGGACACCTGCACTCTGAGCCTAAGTCCTGCAGACCCCTGCCTTTCCCAGCTCTGGTTCCGTTCCAGCTTCCCATTGTGTGTGTTACTCTGACCTCATAGCTACATTTCCAGAGGGTACACATGGCCTGGTTGTACTCTGTGACACTTCCCCAAGCTTCCCTTACACTCGGGCAAGGACTATTCTCCGTCATTGAGATGGCTGCTGTCCCCTGTCCTTCATAAGCCTTCCCAAGAGGAGCCTGTCTGATTGAGCACGTAGCAAATTCCCACCACCTCTGCCTTGTCACTGGTGTGAGTACTTCTGAGGACACAAGCCCAGACATGGGGACTGTGCAGAAGTGCTGACTGTGCTGCAGAGGAGGGTGGTGGCACCTGGCTTTTGGATGCTGAGTTGGAGGACAGTGTGTGTGGAGAGAAACCAATAAAGGAAAAGGCCAAGGCAAATTTGTGTAGGGGTGTCTTGAGGGTATCGGGCAGTGTGTGTGCATGCATGTTGGGGGGATTGCCTAGTGCACATTATCCACCTGAACCAAAGCCACCTTTCTTATCACCTGTGCTATTCTGAACCTATTTTCAGCCTCAGCCTGTGGATTCAAACTCAACTTTTTGTGCAGTGGAAATAGAAATGTGTGTCATCTCAAAACCTCAACCTCGGTCTCAGGGAATGACATTAAGAGGCCACATTTGGGGGATGTCTTAGGAAAACAGCCTCAGCTCTTCTTGCCTTCTAAGTATGGCACACTTGGTTGTAAGAATAGATGCGTGGTATCGTTCCACAGCCCCTTGGTGAGGGCTACTTGGGCTCTGATGGGTGAAGCTATTGAGAAGATCTGACTCAGCCCTCTGGAGCTTCTTGTTCTTCTGACCCTCAATGCCCCACAGCCATGCTGGCCCCAAACTCTTGGTCAACCACTGCTTGGCTCACTTTCATCCCTCTGCCTGAAATGAAAGTTTCCTCTGAGTGTCCCTCGCCCTCACCCCTGCCTGTTGAAATCCTAGTGTGCTGCTCAAAGCTCTTCCGAGATGCTTGTTCTATGAGCTTTATGAGTCTTAAAAGTTTAAAAATGATGTCTCCCATATCTGACTTTTCTGAATACCTTGGACAGGATGTATGGTCCCTTCTACCATTTGTCTTGGGTTGGTCATGGGTCCTCCTATGGTACTAACCTGAGCTCTCTCAGGAGGGTGTGGGGCTGCGGGGGGAAAGGCTCAAGACAGGCACCTCTTGATGCCAATGTGAGGACACAATTGTTCCCTCTTCTGCCACGTGAGAACACAGTGCTCCTCCTTCTACCATGTGAGGACAAGGCATTCCCTTCTCTTCCACCATGTGAGAAGACCCTCTTCCCCACTTCCACCATGTGAGGACATGGTATTCCTCCTTCTACCATATGAGGACATAGTGTTACTGACTTAAATCATGTGAGGACACAGTATTGCCCATTCCACCATGTGAGGACACAGTGTTTCTGGCTTCCATCATGTAACGGCACTGTGTTCCCACCTTCCATCATGTAACGGCACTGTGTTCCCACCTTCCATCATGTAACGGCACTGTGTTCCCACCTTCCATCATGTAATAGCACTGTGTTCCCACCTTCCATGTTCCCACCTTCCATCATGTAACGGCACTGTGTTCCCACCTTCCATCATGTAATGGCACTGTGTTCCCACCTTCCATCATGTGAGGACTTGGTGTTCTCCCCTTTCACCATTGAGTGCATTGTGTTTCCCCCTCTGCCATGTGATGATGCCACAATAAGATGCCATCTGTGGAGCTGAAGCTGAGCTGAAGAGACATTGGATCAGGCTTACCAGATGCTGAATATGGTGGCGCCTTGATATTAGACATCTCAGCCTCCACAGTATGAGGAATAAATTTCTGTTATCTACACATCACCCAGTGATTTACACATCTCAGGTATTTTGTTATAGTAACGAAATAGACTAAGGCACCCTTGGAATTTTGGAATATAGAAGTATCCTCCTGTTGTCAATCTCCCAAAGATCCTGGCCTCCTGACTCATGAGCCTCAACTCAGGCTGAGCTCCTTGGTGCTGGAAAAACTAATGATTCAAAGAGAAATTGCCCCTTGAGTGGCAGTAGAGCCCTGCTTGGGCAGAAGACAGGGAATAAGGGACATTGCACTCAAATGTAGATGAGACATTCAGAGTGGTCTTTATCCAAATTTTCCCCATTCATGGTCGATGTCAGACCATGTCATCATCCACATCCTCAATTAACCTTCCGCTGATGAAAGTTTTCTTCATAAAGTCATTCAGTATGTGACATGGCAAAAGCCCCATAAAACTGCCCACCTCAACCATACCCCAGATTTCTATTGAAACTGCTTTCTGTAACCCAAATGCGTCAGGCAAGCAGTCCAAACCCATTCCATCTTGGCCCCTGTGACTCATAATAAGTAATTAAGGACTGTAATTTCCACCCTACTCAGACAATGCATAAACAAATGCTAATCTTGACTTTTGTGAACCACTTCAGTAACAATCAGAATGTCAAACGTCCCCTGGACCTTGGAATGTCCGGAGCCCCTCACCCTCATCTCCGCCCAGGAGGTGATTTACAGACTCCACTGGCCCTCAGAATATCTGAAGCACCTCATCCCCATCCTCACTCCTCACCCTCACCCCCGAGGTGGTTTTAGGGTATAAAAGGTCTTGACACCCTCCTTTCTGGGCCATGGGTTGGAGAGACCCGAGTCCTCCGTGGCTGCCGGAAATAAAGACTCTCCAATTTGGCATACTTTTGTCTTGGTGTTGACTTTTTATGCTCAGGCCAGTACAAGTAGGCCTTACAGGAGTCTCTCACTTAGAGCTTCTACAATTCCATGAGGCATAAACCACCATTGTACACATGGAGAGACTAAAATCCAGGGAAGTACTTCATGCAATTTCTCTTCAGTGTCAGTCATGATTTGCATCCAAATAAACCATAATTTTGCTCATCTTTTACTCCTTCTTATTCACTCCAGATGCCCAACGAGCCAGTATGTTCCATTGGGTTATCTGTCATGAAGTGTCTTGTATGGCATCTCCCTCTCATCATTTCATTTTTACTTTTCACCTTCACCTTCGTCATTTTTACCCTCCAGCAGCAATGTGGGAGGACATCTCCACATCCTCCCCAAGTCTTGCTATTGTTCCTTTCTTTGACTATTGCCTTCTGAGTGTGTGTGAGGTGGTAACTCATTGTGCTGATGATTTTCATTTCCCAAATGACTCATGTTGCTGAACAAGATGAGGGTTCAATCAATATAACCACAGAAAAATTAGATTTTTACTGGACAAGATTCTTAGGAAAACAGTTAAAAGGAAAAAGCAAACAAAACAAAAATGTAAACGTTTGGCACCTTCATGACGGCAGCTCACTCCTCTAACTGTTGAGAGATAGAGTGTGTGTCCAATCCCCCCACTCTCACTGAAAATAGAGGCTATTCATGTGGTTGGATTACAGCATATACTTTCCAGCTGCTGCAGTTTACTTGCGGGTTCTAAGAAAAACATATGGATTTGGCCATTTCTCTCTTATTCTCATAGCTCTGTATCCTGTCTCCCATACATGCAGGTCCTGAACTCCAGGTTTGTTCTTCAGAAGCAGGGCCTCATAGACATTAAGTATATTGAATTGAATACGTTAGGATAGAACAAAAGAAGGGCTAATTTTAAATTAAATGAAAGTAAACACCCAGTTTCTTATTTATGTTAGTCACATGCTAAATATACAATTGGCTGGTGGTTACCTTCTTGGGAAGCACAAATACAGAACATTTCTATCATTATTGAAAATGCTATTGAACGGTTCTGTGTTAGGTTATGTTACTGGGTGAATTTTTTTCTTTTCTTTTTTTGCATTAAAAACATTTTGTTCTCTTTAGTTTGTGGTAGAAAACACTCAATCTGAGTTGGAAAAATCTGGAGCTGTTTTGTTAGCTCGGCATTTAAGAGCTGCTTGATCACGTTTTTTGCCCACTTTTCAATAGGGTCCTTTGTTTGTTTGTTGGTTTGTAAATTTGTTTAAGTTCCTTATAGAAGCTGGATGTTAGACCTTTGTCAGATGCACCGTTTGCAAAATTTTCCTTCTATTCTGTAGGTTGTTTATTTATTCCGTTAGTAGTTTCTTTTGCTGTGCAGAAGCCCTTTAGTATAATTAGATCCCATTTGCCAATTTTTGTTTTGTTTCTGTGCGACCCCCTTGTAGACCCCTGCCCGGTACCCGACCCCAAATAACAGCTCGAGAGTTGGAAGCCGAGTTCAGGTTTATTGGGACCAGCGGGCAGGCCAGGAAAGGAAGGAGATCGGGGCTGGCTGCGACTGCACAGCTGGGGTAGGAAGGTTTTATAGGGGGGGTGGACGGGGCGTGGACACAGGGCTGGCGGAGTGTCGTAGGAGTTTAGGATAGGCTGTCCGTCTCTGGGCAGACTGCTGAGGTGGCTCAGAGGGTTACGTGTCGGTTCAGGATAGGCCGAGGCTTGGCGGGCTTTCCTGCTGCGATGATTGGCTGCTTGTCGTTGCTGGGCAGAACAGAGCAGGCTTGGCGGGCTTTTCTCAGGGCAGCAGGAAGCCTGGGGGGAGGGTGGGGGCAAGAAACCTGGGGGAAAGATGGCGGGACTTTCTACCAAACATTCCCGACTCCTTAAAAAGGAAAAAGGGCGGCGGAATCGATCTGGCTACTTCCTGCTGACAAGGGTTGACGGGGGGTTCTGAAGAGGTCTCTTTTCTTAAGGAGCCTGGATGTTCAGGGAGAGGTCTGTTCCTTGCACTCGTTCAGGGTGGGGTTGGAGCAGCATCTGGTGGATGGTGACTCGAGTCAGTTCTTGAAAGCGCCGCTGTATGAACTGTAGAAAGCAAGGAGCAATAAGTAAGATTAGGCAAACGGCTACTAGGGGCCCAAGCAATGGGGACAAGAGGGTATACATAGAGGAAGACCACCACGCTGTGGCTTCAGCCGAGAACTTCTGACTCTGCAGGCTAGTTTTGAGTTTCTGGAGGCTCTCGATTCGGGTTTCTACTAGGCCGGATTCATTGATGTAGTAACAGCACTCTTCCTGTAGGAAGATACAGGTCCCTCCTTGTTCAGCAGTGAGCAGGTCTAGGGCTCTTCGGTTCTGCAAGGCAACTTGGGCAACTGAGGTGATCTGTCGTTGGAGTGATGCTAAAGACTCAGTAGAGTCATCAATAGCCGCTTGGAGTTGTGAGGTCAGTCGGGCTATGGCCAGGTGAGAGTGGACTAGTGCCCCTCCCCCTAATCCTGCTGCAAGTGCTGAACCAGCAAGGGAGACTCCAACGGCAATGGGTAGGAAGGCAGCTCGTCGGGTGCGGCGATGGGGAGCTTGCAGCATCTGGAATTCGGCTGAAGAATATATAGTGAGTCGAGGGACTAGGGTTACTGGGAGGCATAAAAGAGATGAGGAAAGGCCAATGTAGAGAGTTTTTGTTAAGGTCCTGTTACACCAAAAAAACGTTCCTCGTGGGGCTGTTATATTAGTGGTTACCAGTATAGTTCTGTTACAGCTAGGGAAGTTTCGGCCTAGGGAATAGCACACAGGTAGCTGTTCAAAATCAGGTGGAGTGTAGAGATCGACTTCCCTGACGGGGGAGAAGGAAGAAGTTGAGGCTGAAAGGTTGAGAGGGATGGGGTAAGGGACTGCAACGAAGGGAGTCTGTCCTAAGAAGGCACACATGAGGCATGAAGTTAGGTCAGTTAGTCCTGAGAGGTTAGCTAACTTGATTCCTTCTTGGAGAAAAGTTAACCAGGAAAACGGAGACGAATGTGGTTGCAATTGGTCATTCAGAGATTTTTCTTGTAGGCTAATATCAGTTCCTTCTCCATCTATGTCTGGGATGATTTTGAGCTGAGATCGGGCAGGTACTGTGGACTTGACGGCTATATGTAGTCGACAGTTCATCCAAGTACATCCCATGCAGGAGCGCCAAGGAGTATTATTGCATGCTCCTGATGGTTGGTCATGGTTGAAGCACATGAGGGGTATATCAGTATGGATGTTATGGAATTTGGTGAAGTTCAGATATATGGCCCTTTGGCATCCGGCTGCGGGGCAGTCGGAAGTTGCAAGAAGATGGTTGTGGCTGTATGGAGGGGTATTACAGATGAAGGTGGTTTTGGTATAGTTTTCAGTTAGGAAGAATCTCCATCTGTAGGGGGTGTGGCTGCTAGGCCCTGGTAAGTTTGACAGATAAAGGGCCAGTAGGAACAGCCTTCCAGCATAAGGAGGGTCCATGAGGGGCCTTTTTTACCCGAGACAGGTGGACCCAAGATGGGATTTCAGCAACTCTTATAGCTGATGGAGTGGTAAGGAGGACTGTGTATGGTCCTTCCCACTTGGGGGCGAGGGCCTTTGGGGAGAGGGACCTGATAAGAACTGAGTCCCCGGGGGAGACTTTCTGTGTATTTTCAGATGGCTGGGTGGGTTGGGGAAGAGAAGCGTTGGCATGTTCTCGGAGAAGGCTGCGAAGGAGAGTAAAGTAGGGGAGGTAGCTGTCTAGAGGAGTGGTCTCTGGCGGTGGGGGAGTTGAAAGTAGGAAGGGGCGACCATACAGCAGCTCAAACGGGCTAAGCTGTGATGGGCTCCGGGGGCTTGCTCTCAACCTGGTGAGGGCGATAGGAAGCAAGGTTACCCAGGATTGGCGGAGCTCAAGCATGAGCTTGGTCAGATGCTCCTTTATTAGGCCATTGGCCCGTTCCACCTTACCAGAGGACTGAGGATGGTAGGCGGCGTGTAGCTTCCACTGAATTCCTAGAGAGGTAGAAACGGCATTAGTGACTTTGAAGATAAAGGCTGGGCCGCTGTCTGACTGTATGGTAGCCGGGAGTCCAAAGCGTGGGATGATGTCTTGAATGAGATGAGTGGCTACTGTCCCGGCAGACTCAGAGGCTGTGGGGTAAGCTTCAATCCAGCCTGAAAAAGTGTCAACAATGGTTAGCAGATACCGGTACTGTTTATGCTTTGGCATATGGGTGAAATCAATTAGCCAGTCTTGGCCAGGTAGGAACCCGCGTAGCTGATAAAGCTGGCGCCGAGGATGACAGGAACCCTGGGAATTAGTTTTTGCGCAGACAGTACATGAGGACTGGACTTCCTGTATGGTACTGAGGAGATGGTGAGGGTGAAAAGTGGGTTGAGGAATCGGTATAAGGCTTTAGGCCCAATGTGGAGTGAATTATGGATGTCTTGGATTATCTGGTACCTTTGCTTTTCAGGGAGGATGAGGAGGTTATGCTTGAAGGCCAAGTCATCCTTGAAGCGTACCCCGGGGGTAGACTGGAGGGTCTGGAATTCTGAGGCAGAGTATTGAGGGCTAGAAGAAAGAGGCTGTGTGGGCTGGCGGTGGGGAAGGTTATGACGGCCTTCAGCTTTGAAAGGATGTCTCGCCCCAGAAGGGGAACTGGGCAGGTGGGGATTACTAAAAAGAGTGGGTGAATGGAGTGGAGTTATATGAGCACATGAGTGGTGGGGTTTGGTAGGGGATACTCGGGGTCCCATCGATTCCCATGACCGAGACCTGGGAAGGGGTGAGACAGCCAGAATAAGAAGGAAGAGCGGAGGAGGTAGCCCCCATGTCTTCTGACCCTAGGCTCGGCAAGGGTAACCGGAGTCGGAAAGCCAGGGCCCCGCTAGTCGTCTAGCAGCCCTAATAGCCTGGGGAATGGAGTTCCCTCGGAGGTCGGCTCCTGGCAAGCAGGCTCCTCCCTACTGAGGGTGACTGCCGGCTGAGTAACGCCAGTGTGTCTGTTTTGAGGAACCGGCACCCTGGGGAAGCTGGGGCAGTCTGACTTCCAGTGTCCCGGGAGCTGACAGATAGGGCAAGGCTTAGTTGGTGGCCATGGTTGTGGACAGGCTCGGGACCAGTGTCCTTCCTTTCCACATTTAAAACATGCTCCCAGAGGGGCATGGGTTTCGGCCTTGGGCTTCTGGTTCCCTGCCGGCCTTAGAGACGCCACTAGGGCTTGGGTCTGGAGGGCAGCCTTCTGCTTCATGCGAGTTTGGCGGGCAGCCTCAGCCGCATCTTCCCTGGCATTGAATACTTTAAAGGCCATTTTTACCAGGTCTTGGATGGGAGTCTCTGGCCCCTCTTCTGCTTTCTTTAGTTTCTTTCTTATGTCGGGTGCTGATTGGGAGATAAAATGGGAGGCTAATACAGTGGCCCCGTTTTGAGGGGCTGGATCTAGTCGAGTATACCGGACTAGGGCTTCTTACAAGTGGGCGAGAAAGAGGGCGGGGTTCTCATCAGGTAGTTGGGTGATTTCTCTCAGTTTATCATAGTTTACAACTTTGTTAGATACAGCATCCATTCCCCTGAGGAGGTATCTAATCATGCGGTCCCTCTTGGGTATATCAGACCCTCGATTAGCCTGATAGTCCCATTGGGGGTCTTCACCTGGGATTGCTTCGGGGCCTAGGGGGATCTGGTTATCTATAGCATGGTCTTTATCTGCTTGGTTTCTGGCTGCAGCGAGGATGCGCTCGTGCTCCTCCACTGTGAGGGTGGAGGAACAGATAACGCGAATATCATGCCAAGTGAGGCTGTAGGCTTGAGTGAGGTATTGGAATTCCTTAATATAGGTGGACGGGTCGGCTGAGAAGGATCCTAAACGTTTCTCAATTTGGGACAGGTCTTGGAGTGAGAAAGGAACATGGACCCTGATTAAACCTTCTGCACCTGCTACTTCTTGGAGTGGGGCCAGGATAGCTGGCTGGTGGGAGCGGGTGTGGGCCGCCACCGGAGAGGCAAGAGGAAGTGCGGCCTCTGAGGGAGGGGGCTCGGAGGGAGTAGAGGGAGAGCGAGGCATGGCCTCCGAGGTAGGAGGTGCATAGGGAGCAGAGGAAGAGCGTGCCGTTGATGGCGACTGGTTGCTGAGATTGGCAGGAGAGGATAGATGTTCAGGCAGATCCTCCGGTGAGGAGTAGGGACGGGGAGAGGTAGTGGACTTCTGGAGTGGGAACAAAGGGGGAAGACATGTGGTCAGGCATCTCTTCCTGTAGAGTATAGGGAGGTGGCTTGGTTGGGGAGGTAGGAGTCTGCGGTGGGGGAGTTCGGGCTAAAAGAACTTGGTGAGTGGAGCAAGAAGAGCAGAGGTCAGGATGGGAACGCAGGTCCCAAAAAGCCTGAACATAAGGCACTTCCTTATCTTTGCCAGTTCGGCGGCAGAAGTTATCTAGGTCGCGGAGCACATTGAAATCGAAAATGCCGGTGGAAGGCCAATGCGACCTGTTATCGAGCTGATACTGGGGCCAGGCCACCTGGGAGAGGAAGACAAGCTTTTTCCGCCTAAGGGTTTTGGGAGTAGCCCAAGCCGGTAAAGTCGAGAAGTAAACAACCTAGTGGGGCGTTTTTAGGAATTTTGGACTCCACGTTCCCCATGATGCGTGCGGCAAAGGGTTCCTGCCAGCCGAGGGCAGTCTCGGAACAGTATCCGAGCTCGGAACAGTATCCGAGTGGGCTGGGGTAGTGTGGGGGGAGGCGTCCCTCCAACCCACCAGCTTCCCCAGAGGAAGGTGGATAGGAAGGACCAGAGAAGGCGTCCCCTGTCTGATCGTACCTATTTAATGGTTTTGGATTGGGTGGGTCAGAGAAGGCGTCCCTTGTCTGCCGACCCAAGGCTCCTGGAGCCTGGTTGGGGGATCCTGCTCGGGCCGGCCGGCGCTTGGCGAGGGATCCGTGGATTGGGACTGGGAGGAAGCGTCTTTGCCACACACACCACGGAAGGAGAAGGTAAGAAACAGGACTTACCTGGTCCGGAGTGCTGAGGCCGAATTGGAGGAGGGCTGGGGAGGTCGCTGGAGGGAGGGGGTCGCTAGGGGGGCTAGCGACCCTCCGTCCCGGGTTTCGGCACCATATGTGCGACCCCCTTGTAGACCCCTGCCCGGTACCCGACCCCAAATAACAGCTCGAGAGTTGGAAGCTGAGTTCAGCTTTATTGGGACCAGTGGGCAGGCCAGGAAAGGAAGGAGATCGGGGATGGCTGCGCCTGCGCAGCTGGGGTAGGAGGGTTTTATAGGGGGGTGGACGGGGCGTGGACACAGGGCTGGCGGAGTGTCGTAGGAGCTTAGGATAGGCTGTCCGTCTCTGGGCAGACTGCTGAGGTGGCTCAGAGGGTTACGTGTCAGTTCAGGATAGGCCGAGGCTTGGCGGGCTTTCCTGCTGCGATGATTGGCTGCTTGTTGTTGCTGGGCAGAACAGAGCAGGCTTGGCGGGCTTTTCTCAGGGCAGCAGGAAGCCTGGGGGGAGGGTGGGGGCAAGAAACCTGGGGGAAAGATGGCGGGACTTTCTACCAAACAGTTTCCATTGCTTTTGGCGTCTTTGTCATAAAATCTTTGTCCATGCCTATGTCCTGAATGGTATTGCCTAGGTTGTCTTCTAGGGTTTTTATACATTTGGGTTTTACATTTACGTCTTTGATCGATCTTGAATTAATTTTTGTATATGGTAAAAGGAGGGGGTCCTGTTTCAATATTCTGCAATTGGGCTAGTCTGTTTTCCCAGCACCATTTATTGAATACAGAGTCCCTTCTCCATGGCTTGTTTTTGTCAGGTGTGTTTGAAGATCAGACAGTTGTAGGTGTGCAGTCTTATACCACAATATTTTGGTTATTAAAGCCTTGTAGTATAGTTTGAAGAAGGGAAGCATGATGTCTCCAGCTTAGTTCTTTTTGCTTAGCATTGCCTTAGCTATTGAGGGTCTTTTTTACTTCTTTAAAATAAAAGTTAATAAAAAAGCTGTTTGACTTTGACTATATCCTCAGTTGTAAAAGCAACTCGAGTTGTGGAGTCTCTTTCTCTCTGTTTTGAAAGTTAGAAATAATACATTATACCTTATATAGTGGTCAAAAGAAAGAAAGAGAAAAATAGAAAGAAGAGAAAAAGAAAGAAAGAAGCAGAAGAAAGCAAGAAAGAGAAAAAGAAAGAAAGAAAAGAAAGCAAGAAAGAAAAGAAAAGAAAGAAGAAAGAAAGAGAGAGAGAGAGAGAAACATCTGTGTTGAGCTGAGCTCATCCTGGTGCAATGGGGAAGCACAGGAAGAGGCAGCAGCAGTCGGAGAAGCCAGCTGAGGTGCACATAGCCCTGCAAGGCTGAGTCTGTGTCTGGACTGGGGAGGGCAGGGTGGGAGGTTTGTGAAATTGACAGTAGTGTGGGCTGCCACTTTCCACAGATGATGAGGTGGGAAGCATGGGTAAATGCCGTCTCTCAGTTAAGTTGACTTGAACCTGATACTGCCCACTGTCTTCAGCGGTCAGGTTCTCAATCCTCATGGATGACATGCTGGGCACATGGACCCTCTGCTTGAAATGATCCTGAAGGCTGAACCAGGTTGGACAGTTGGTCCCCCTGGGGACTTGCAGCATGACTCTGTAGTCTGACTCAGGTCCACTGCCAGACAAGACCTCCAGCTCGGATCCTGGAGCTATGCCTGGCTTTTTTCGATCACATGAAGCAAGACAAAACCTCCTTGGATTCACTTCAAATGAACCTGGGATTCAGAATCCTTCACTGCAGCAGAGCTCCAGTTCCAGGGCAATGGAAACAGCAAACAGGAATATTTGCTCATTGAAAACAAATGAGAGAATGACAGAACTTTCCAATTTAAATGGCATCCACTACTTCTATCTTACTGATTTTAGGAGGGTAGTCGGTGTAATAAAATTGCGGTAGACATGTGTTCATATTTCTAATTTAAGTCCCAGTTTGCTCTTCTACAAAAAGGGTCTGGTAACACTTCCCTCACAGTGCTGCTGTTCTGGTGAAACGTGATAAAGTTCCAAGCACTTAGTGCCATGTCTGGATCATAGAAAGTGCTGGATCGGGCCAGGCTTGGTGGCTCATGCCTATAATCCCAGCACTTTGGGAGGCCTAGGCAGGTGTATGACGAGGTAAGGGGCAGGAGAATGGCTGGAACCCAGGAGGCAGAAATTGCAGTGAGTTGAGATTGCACCACAGTGCCGCAGCCTGGGTGACAGAAAAAGACTCAAAAAACAAACAACAAACAAACAAAGAAACAAAATTAAGAAATGTGCTGGATCCATGGTTTCTCTTTCTTGGGAGCAGGGCCCTAACTATTTCAGCCAGGGTCCCAACCAGGCTCCCTCCCTTGCTCCTGCTGCAGGGTTGCGACCATGAACTGCGTCAGGGCCTCGTCTCAGCTCTGACCAACTCCATGGCCACTACCCTAAGCCTCTGATCAGCCCCAGGGAGCTTGATAATGTCTCCATCCTCATTCTGTTCATCTCTCAGATCAGTGCTGGACCAGGGAAGGCCCCACAGAGGCTCCCTCCTCTCTCCATTCAAAGGTGTGAGATTTGCTTGGTTTACCACTGCCTGTTAAAGTAACCCACTTACTGAGTCACAAAGTTCTTTTTTGTACTTGACCCACCTCCTTCCTGCTTAATTTACATTGAACAATTCCTTATCCTCACTGGGGGCAGAGAATAACTTATGCCATGGCCTTAAGGGCAGGACCCTGTCAAATAAGTTCTTCTTATTAATTAATGCACTCAACCAAGCCATGTGTGATGTTCCCCTCCCTGTGCCCATGTGTTCTCATTGTTCAACACCCCCCTATGAGTGAGAACGTGTGGTGTTTGGTTTTCTGTTCTTGCGTCAGTTTGCTGAGAATGATGGTTTCCAGATTCATCCATGTCCCTACAAAGGACACAAACTAATTGCTTTTTATGGCTGCATAGTATTTTATGGTGTATATGTGCCACATTTTCTTTGTCTAGTCTATCATTAATGGGCATTTGTGTTGGTTCCAGGTCTTTGCTATATATGTATATAATATATCACGATGAATATACATGTACTTATATGTCTTTATAATAGAACAACTTATAATCCTCTGGGTATACATTCAGTAATAGGATTGCTGGGTCAAATGGAATTTCTATTTCTAGGTCCTTGAGGAATCGCCACACTGTCTTCCACAATGGTTGATCTAATTTACACTCCCACCAACAGTGTAAAAGTGTTCCTATTTCTCCATATCCTTTCCAGCATCTGCTGTTTTCAGATTTTTTAATGATCGCCATTCTAACTGGCATCAGATAGCATCTCAATGTGATTTTGATTTGCATTTGTCTAATGACCAGTGATGATGGACATTTTTTCATGTTTGTCGGCCTCATACATGTGGAAGACCCCACTTTTAAGTACCTGTGTGTTCCACCCGACTCAGAGCTCTCCTGACACTAATAGCCCTTTACTTGTGGGGCACGTTGTGAAAGTAACCACAGGCAATTGTTTAACTTCTTGGCTGCCTGAAGCCAGGAATAACTGTTGCCACAAATAGACTAACCAAAAATCTTAAAAGAAAAAGCTAGGGAGTGAGATGTTCATAGAAGGTCACATGCAGTTGTGAAGTTGGGAATATTTCTAGGTCTGCACACTTGCCTAGGATAAATCTGAGAAGACCTTAACCTCTCATCAGCTGGCGGTCCTGGGGCTCTGCGCAAGCAGAAAGTGAAGGCTAAGAAAGAGTCGTCAATAGTGCAGTAGCTTCAGTGAGTTCTTAGAAACCTCTTAGCAAATTATCAAACCTCAGGTTGGTTTGGGAATTCCCTGAACTTGCAGTTTGTGTCAGAAGTAAGAGAGAGCTTCTATGGACATGAACAAAAGCCTTAAGTATGCAAAGTTTGTGGCAGGTCCACTCTCATAGTTGGCATCAGAAGTGAATTGACTAGAATTGAGGAAGGAGACCCAGGAATCAGGGATTCCCTCCCCACTTTGTCATCCACTGTGCATCTCAATAGTAGAGAGAAGAGGCCAGCTGGAACCTCCTGAATCTCCTTCCTGAAAATAATACGCTTGGTCTTGGAGAAACTCTCCGGAAGACACTGTTTTTACTTAATACAAGATCAAACATAGAACCTTTTTACGTATGAGTCCTAAAACTGTAAACCGGAACCCTTTCAGATGTGATTCCTGAAACTGTAAACTGAAACCCTTTTCATATGTGATTTCTAAAGCTATAAACCAAGGATTCTTCCACGTGTAATACCTAAAGTATAAGCCTATATAAAGGCAGAACCTCCCTTTGTTAGACGAGCTGAATTTGGACAGATCGTTTCCTCAGCTCCCGACTGTAATAAACTCTTTCCTCCTGTATTCAGTGTTTGGGAGATCCGTTTCCCATGGCTGCTCCTGCTACAGAATGACCCTGACTCAGGCAAACCTATGGTTTGGGAGGAGGAAGACTGAGAGGGCAGGGAAAATAAATCATTGATTTCTGCATGGCAACAGCGTCATCTATGACAGCAGACTGCACCTGTGCACGTCAAAGTTACTAACAGAATTCATAAGTGATGGATTCAGCTCATGATTTGGAGGCTCACTGGAAGCAAAAGGAAATGCACAGGACCAAGAAAAGGCTAAATATACAATCCCCTGGTTATTTTCATCTGTAATACCTCAAATGAAAGCAAAGTCGAAGGTGAGCGTGGATTCCGGTATCAGGTGAAGCTTAGATTCTGAGTGATCCAAGTCACTGGTCTCAGGGTCACTCCCAATGGGAAAAGGCATAACAAGAGTAAAGTAAGACACCTGGGGTAGAGCCTCGTTCTGGGCCAGGCTTAAAGGTCTGAGCTGCAGCCCCCAGCCCCAGGGCCACTACTAAATAGAAGAGTTATGCTTGAACAACAGACGATAAAGAGACTTACAGTGATTCAAAAGAGAATAGGAAAAAAATGGGAGAGTTGTGGTGGGCGAAGGCACCCCATCTAGGAGGACAGAGATCTCTCAGTGATTATTACGATATGGGAAGAATAAAAAGAGCTTCAGTGGGCTCAGAATAAGGGTCTTAATGCAGCACCTTTGGACATTGGGTGCCGCAATGTGAGTCACTGGCAGTTGTCCAATACTGAAGGGTCCGCAACTAATCTGTTTATTCACCTTCCTGTGTGGAAATTTTAAAAGCCAGAGAGGGCAAAGATGACAATGAGAAACCAGACTTCCAAGTGCCTAAGGTGACTGATGTTCCCTTAATTTACTTACAGTAAAGATTGACAAAAGGGCCTGAGTCTCTTGGCACAACAATGGGTGGAGACCCATGAACATAGGCAGGTAGTGTGTAACATAGGGAGTGGAGAAAACAGTGTCTCCGACGCCTCACTGTCAATGAAAACCAGCAGGTTTAAGACCTCATGTGAAGTGGATGCAACTCTCAGAGGAGATAACAGGAAAGCCTTCCCTTGACTACGCCTATTGTGGTCAATACCTAGTTGGTGCTCTAGGCTTGATCATGTTTAGGTTTATCCTTTCTGTCATGTAGCTTTCAGAGGATTCTTGGAGGTCCCTCCTTCCCTATGCTGAGGATCTGTCACCTACCTTCTCACAGATAATGCACTCTCAGGGTGGACATTTGTTCTTTCTCTTTGGTCCCTGATTCCTTGATGCAGCTTGGCGATGCACTGCACAGGTGCCTGACTCACACCTGAGAAACTCAAAGAGGAGACGCTGCTGAAACAGCCTATGGCCGCAGAGTCAGGACTGCCAGTGGGGAAAGTGCGTCCCCATTAAGGAGTCAAATGCGCATGCACATCTCTGAATGGTCTCATTGTCGCCCCTCTCACCAGGCTTGAGGTGAGGGGCAGACACCGTGGGTTAGTGGGATTCATGGCATAGCTTTCTCCAAATAAGTTCTCTTCCTCTTATTTTCAAATCTTAATTTTTTTTTTTTTTTTTCTTGAGACGGAGTCTTACTCTGTCGCCAGGCTGGAGTGCAGTGGCGCAGTCTCGGTTCACTGCAACCTCCGCCTGGGTTCAAGCGATTCTTCTGCCTCAGCCTCCCGAGTAGCTGGGACTACAGGTGCGTGCAACCACGCCCGGCTAATTTTAGTATTTTTAGTAGAGACGGGGTTTCACCATGGTCAGGATGGTCTCGATCTCTTGACCTCGTGATCCGCCCGCCTCGGCCTCCCGAAGTGCTGGGATTACAGGCGTGAGCCACCGCGCCCTGCCCAAATCTTAATTTTTTATGTTACCAGTATAATGAGAGCTTAAGAGTGTTACGACAACTTTCCAGAAACAGCTTTGCAAATTTTGCACGTGGAAGTTATTTCCCAAGAGATGTCATTGTATCTTCTAAGTGCTTTAACGTTTGTGAAGGATCTCGGGATAAGCGCAGATGACAAACATGAATTCAGCTGTGTGGTGTGGGCAACTGTACCGATGATGGAGAGAGCTGAAAGGCTCGGCTGTTTTCTTTCCTAAATCTTGGGTTTTCTCAGTATATGACTTGGAGCATAACTGGAGGCTGGGGGTTGCTTCCTGTACAGACCTCCCTGCTAAAGTGAAATCCATTACTTTTCTGGTTTTGTTCTTTAGCACCGGGATGGAATGTTTGGGAAAGCGGCATAGATTGCATTGTGAATTAGACCTCCATTTGTAAAAGAGATAAAGAGAAGAGAGGTGGGGGTTGGAGCCAGAAAATATAGACAATTATCTTTTAAAAAATTTGCTACAAGGTAGACCAAAAAATGGGATGGTACTGGAGGGAGTGTGAGTCTGCAGGATTATTTTATGTTTTGTTTCTATCCTGTCCCATTTCCATGGCAATTTCAGGATGAGTTTATCAATTCCTGCAAAAAAATCCAGCTGGACTTCGGTAGGAATTGCATGGAGTTGGTAGAATAACTTGGAAAATATTGGCATCTTAGCAATAGGAAATCTTCTCATTCAAAAGGATGGTATGTTTTTCCATTGATTTCAGCCCTCTTTAGCTTACTTTAGCAATATTTTGCATTTTGGGGGGCACCTGTCTTGCACTTTTCTTATTGGTTTATTCTTAAACACTTTTCCTTTAATCCTGTTACAATAAAATTTTTTTACTTTATCTTTTGATTGCTCATTGCTAGCATAGAAAACCATAAACATTTCTGCATATTGATCTTTCATTTTGCAACCATGCTGAACTTGTTAGCCTTAATAGTTTCTTGTGAATGCCTTTGAATTTTCTATGCATGTGACGATGTCATTTTAAATAGAGATAGTTTAAATTCTTTGCTTTAAATCTGGGCAACTTCTCCCTGTTTTTCTTAATTGTTCTGGATAGAACCCAGGGAACAATGTGGAATGCCAATGTTGAAAGCAGACACCCTTGTCTTGTTGCAGAAATTAGGGGAAAGCTTTGTATGGTTCACTATTACATATGAGGTTAGTTGCATTTTTTTTTTTTTTTTTTTTTTTTTTGAGACGGAGTTTCGCTCTTGTTACCCAGGCTGGAGTGCAATGGCGCGATCTCGGCTCATCGCAACCTCCGCCTCCTGGGTTCAGGCAATTCTCCTGCCTCAACCTCCTGAGTAGCTGGGATTACAGGCACACGCCACCCCATGCCCAGCTAATTTTTTGTATTTTTAGTAGAGACGGGGTTTCACCATGTTGACCGGATGGTCTCAATCTCTCGACCTCGTGATCCACCGGCCTCAGCCTCCCAAAGTGCTGGGATTACAGGCTTGAGCCACCGTGCCCGGCCTGCATTTTTTTTTTTTTTTTTTTTTTTTTTTTTGAGACGGAGTTTTGCTCTTGTTACCCAGGCTGGAGTGCAATGGCGCAATCGCGGCTCAGCGCAACGTCTGCCTCCTGGGTTCAGGCAATTATCCTGCCTCAGCCTCCTGAGGAGCTGGGATTACAGGCACGCGCCACCAAGCCCAGCTAATTTTTGTATTATTAGTAGAGACGGGGTTTCACCATGTTGAACAGGATGGTCTCGATCTCTTGACCTCGTGATCCACCCGCCTCGGCCTCCCAAAGTGCTGGGATTATAGGTGTGAGCCACCACGCCCAGCCAAGTTACATATTTTTTTAATAAATGTCCTTTATCAGGTTGAGGAAATTTTTCTCAATTCCTGCTTATTCAGTGTTTTTTCATCATGAAAAGGTGTTGGATTTTGTCAAATACTCTTTTGTTATACTGAAGTGATCATCTATTTCAACCCCTTTTATATCTATTAATATCTTTTATGATATTGATTGATTTTTGTATATTGAGCCATCCTGTGTTCTTGGGCTGATTCCCACTTGGTTGTATTGTGTAAGTTTTTCATATGTGGGTGGATTTCATTTTGCTCAGATTTTCTTGAGAAGTTTCTAAGAAATACTGACCTGTGCTTTCCTGTTGATATCTTTGTCTGATTTTGGTGTCAGTGTAATTTTATCTTTACAGGAGGTGCAGATATCAATTTCTATTCTATTTTTTTGAAGAATTTGTGAAGGATTGGTCTTAGTTTTCTATTAGGCATTTGGTATAGCACCACAGTGAAGCCATTCTGTTTTTACTTTATGGGGGTGTTTTGATTATTAATTCATTCTCTTAATTGTTAAAGGTTTATCTTAATTTTCTACTTCTTCTTGAGTCAGTTTTTATAGCATCTGCCTTTCTAGAAATTTTTCTTTTTAAATGTATTATTATTATTATTTTGAGATGGAGTCTTTCTCTGTTGCCCAGACTGGAGTGCAGTGGCACAATCTCAGCTCACTGCAACCTCTGCCTCCCAGGTTCAAGCGATTCTCCTGCCTCAGACTTCTGAGTAGCTGGAATTAAGGTGTGTGCCACCACACCTGGCTATTTTTTGTATTTTTAGTAGTAACAGGATTTTGCCTTGTTGGCCAGCTGGTCTCAAACTGTTGACATCAGGTGATCTGCCCTTCTCGGCCTCCCAAAGAGCTGGAATTACAGGCATGAGCCACCACACCTGGCCTAGAAATATTACTAACTAGTTTATCTACTTTTTACCATATCATTGTTCTTAGTACCCCTTCATAATATTATGTACTTCTGGGGAACATAATTTATACTTTCATTTACACATTCCTTATTTGTTTAGTATCCATTTAATGTCAGTGATATACAAAATATTCATTCTACATAGCTGTGTTCCTCTATCCTTGTACTGTCATTGTCATATAATTACATGTTTTACCTTGTGTATTCATTAACACATAATTTTTGCATTAGGTAAGCTTATTTTAGGTGACCTAAGGGGCAAAGCTATTATAAATAAATAAAAACACTAATATTGTCGCTTATATTTATCTGGTCAATTAGCCTTACCTGTGCTCTTAATTTGTTCATGTAGATTTCATTGACTCTCTAGTGCCTTTGGTTCAGACTGAATGACTCCCTTTGTATTTGTAACACTGCAGATCTGCTATGTGTGAAGGATAGTTTTGCAGGACAACACATTCTTAGTTGCAAGATTTTTTTCTGAATACTTTGCACATGTCATTGCAGAGCCGGCTGGCATTCAGAGAATTCACTGCTGATCTCATTAGCGATCCCTTGAACATGCAGCGTGACGTTTTTATTTCCGCTTTGAAGATTCTCTGTTTGAATTTGGCTTCGGATATCTCATTTTGATAAGCCTATGTTTCATTATCTTTCAGATAACACTACGTGGAGGTCAGTGAACTCTTTGATTGTGTAATTTAGTGTTTCTCTTTAAAATGAATTTGAGAGCAATTTGAGGTGGGGATGTCTCACTCATATCCTTCTAAAGAAACAAGCATTTGGGAACCTTTTATAGAAAAAAGCACAGTTGTGAGTGCACTGGAATTCAGGTCAGAGGTAGCAAACCTTAGGAGAGCCCAGGAATGAAGACGGCTGTTTTGAATAGTTATTTCATGTGTAAGGACAAAAGAAAGCCACTGAACTCAGAAGGGGCATAGCACAGACTTGCTCTCAGAGGGAGACTTCTGCACCAGACTGTAGGCTGACACCGGTGACCAGTGACAGCTGGGGCTGAGCTGTACACCCAGGGGAGCAGGTAAGTGTCGGGGAAGGGTGTGTGTGAGAACAGCAAGCTGGTTGTGCATGCAGGGAGGGTGCCTTTCTAATATGCTGTCAGAAACATCACAGAATGTGCTTTTATTTCTTTTGCGATTACGTATTGAGTGTGTACGATATTGTAGGGACTGAAAGGAGACGAAAGAGCTGAATGGCTTTCTCTAGAATGGTGGCCTGTCTCCCGAGTAGTAACTTGCTGACCCTGCCCCTGAAGTGAAAAAGAGGGTGAAGGGCTACTTGCTCAAGCTTGTTCTCTTTTCTTACCTCTTCCCCCTCTGTGGTTTCCTCTGCCGCTGAACAGGGCCCAGGCAGCCTGCCATGAGATCGTGCTCCAAGGACCGGTCGTTCTGCTGGACCCACGGGCTCCTGGTATTCATCAGCCTGCTCCTCAGTGAGTGATGGGGTCCGTGGGGATGGAGGCCAATTGGGTCATCTGGGCTAGCTGTGCCATGACCACTAAGTGAGCTGTTGAGGTTCAAATGTCTTTGGCAACAAAAAGAGAAAAACGCTCTGTTGTGGTTAAAAATGCAGCATATTTGGTTGGAGTCCTGAGGTGGAAAGAAAAGAAAGACTTTTTGGTGGTGAGGAGGCTGGGAAACCTGAGCCAGGGCTGTCTTGGCTGCATTCAGGGAAACTTAACCATTCATTGCCTGGGCTTAAGGCTGAGCTCCAGCCAAATCACAACGGAGAGGGCCCTTGAAGGTCTCAATGTTAAAATTGTGTTAGTAATTTGCGTTTGTGTTCACTTTAAAAGTTAAAAAGAATGTATCTGTGGGTAAAATGTGTCTATAGCAGGCGCCCTTCACATCCCTGTGAGTCGCTTTTTCCTCCACTCGGAAATGCTGTTCAGACTCTCAGATGAAACCGTGTTTATCACAGCACCGTTTTAGGAAAACCCTGGAAAGAAACAGGAGGTGCCCATTAATTCAGGAGCATGTGAACAAGTGGCAGAGTCTCTGTACCATGGCGTATGATGGAGGCTTACAAAAACAAATGTTCTAGTTGTCCGGAATGTTCAACTTCCATGGAGTAAGGCGAATAGATTTCCATCAGCAAGATGCAGGAAACTAAACCCAATAGGATTTTCACTTTATCAAAGGAAAGGCAGCCACCAAAATTTAAGTGTTTATAACCTACGTGTTTCTAAGACTATGCTAAAAATCTGGAAGAAATCAGTAGTTTGTCAGCTAGGGGAGGGATAGGGGAGGGCGTAAAATTGTGGAAGAAAATATGAAAGGGGAAAAAGTACAGAACACAGAATGCTAAGCAAAAAAAAAAAAAAAAGAACCTGAGAAAAGGATTATCCTAATCTCGGCTGTCTGTCAGGCTGTAATCTAGGCTGTATTTAGGAATGCTCAAGCTCCGCACACAGTGAAGTGAATTTTTGTCTCTGGTCTCTGGATTACCCCTCTTTTCCCGTTGATCCTTGATTCAGGGAAAGGAATGCGTGGTGAAGCAATGCTAATGAAAATGGGGATGAGGAATTCGCCTTCATCATTCTCAAACTCTTGCCCCCTTCCTAAACATGTGTTTCAATGGGAAAATGTGGAAGGGAAATAGGGAGCCTGAGGGTGGCTCAGGTCACATCTAATTTCCCAGGGACACAGGCAGCAGCAGATGAGGGTGGTCTTCGACTTTTGGGGTCCCCCCGAACATTACAATACCAGGATTTACTAAGTGCCCAGCCCATGTTGCAAGCATGGATCTGGGGGAGAAAGAGTCTCTGCATTAGGGGCTCCAGACAGACAGGAGACAGTGGAGACGGCACCAGGAAGTGCAGTCTGGGCATCACATATGGACTGCTGGTTTGTGTTTGTGAGTGTGGGGATGGGGCTGTGTCAGACAAATGAGGAATATTTTATGTTGTTTACAGAGCTTGAAATTTTATACATTTTAATGAATATTTAGCTCCACATTATAAATGACCACCCACTACCTGGCTTGTTTTTCATTCTATAGTTCAGAGAGCTCCGGCTGCCTTCCTTCTTGCTCTCAGTGTATTTTCTTCTTCCTTCTGTGCTCACCATCACCTTCTGGGGCAGATCCTCCGGAAGCCTGAGGGCTGAGCCTCCTCTCTCCCTGGGTCCATTATCCAGGAAGTTGTCTGTTTAGGCTGGCTGTTTAACCCTCTGCTAGCCAGCAGTCCGTGCTCTGCTCAGCCACTGAAAGTATCTGCTTCGTCTGCTCAGGAGAAGGCGTTTGTGGTTGAGACCCTGGCAGCTGCTCAGGTCCTGGTGGGCTCAGACAATAGTGCAGCTGAGCTCTGGGGAAAGCAGGTGAGGATGGAAGAGCACATGGACAGCGTCCAGCAGTGGGGAGAATCTGAGCTGGGAGAGGAAAGTGAGCTCCAGGTTTTCCTCTGCCCTGTGTTACCCAGGACAATTCTTTCCTCTAGAGACACCCCTCCTCTGTAAAAGCAGGGGTTAGGCAGATGATTTCTGACTCCCTTCCAGCTGCGTGGTTCTTTTACTGACTCCTGCGGCTTTGTTAAGGTTTCTGCGCTGTCTCTTCCATCCTGTCCTCTTCTATCTTGTGGCCTGACAGGCACTCATAGCTGGTAAGCCTGTTTTGGGCTCCTTCAGAGAGAAGACCACAGGCTTTCTCTGTGGCCACTTCCTGTGCCCTCAAGTGAGGAAAGAACTCACCGTCACGCCTCCTTCACTTGATCCCCTGCTTTCTCTGCCTCTGCTCCTGCGAGGGGTTTGGAAGACACTGTCTGCAGGCCACATGCTGAAGGACATTGTTTGAGTCTGTTCTCACACTGCTATAAAGAAGTACCGCAGGCAGAGTAATTTATAAAGGAAAGAGGGGACAAACATCCAACTCCTATCAGTGAGACGGCGCCCTGTCCAGTCCTGCCTAGGACCATAGAAGAGAGGTAGCAAGTGTCAAGAGGCAGAGGTGCTGGCTCCCTTTACCTTCCACGGTGACTGTGAGTCGCCTGATACCCCCACCAGAAGCACATGTTGGCACCGCACTTCCTGTACAGCCTGCAGAACCCAGCACATTTTAAATAGCTTTTCTTTTTTTGGGGGGGGGGGGACGGAGTTTTGCTCTTGTTACCCAGGCTGGAGTGCAATGGCGCAATCTCGGCTCACCGCAACCTCCGCCTCCTGGGTTCAGGCAATTCTCCTGCCTCAGCCTCCTGAGTAGCTGGGATTAGAGGCGCGCTCCACCATGCCCAGCCAATTTTTTGTATTTTTAGTAGAGAAGGGGTTTCACCATGTTGACCAAGATGGTCTCGATCTCTTGACCTCGTGATCCACCTGCCTTGGCCTCCCAAAGTGCTGGGATTACAGGAGTGAGCCACCATGCCGGCCTTAAATAGCCTTTCTTTATAAATTACCTGGCCTTAGGTATTTCTTTATAGCAATGCAAAAATGGACTGACAAACCCGGTAACCGGCTGATGTGGATCCTGAAGGCCTGTGGCCCTGGTGCTAAGGGGTGCTGAGCCTGGGTGGGCCTAGTCCCTTGAGGGAGCTGAAGGGAGGGGTGAGGCCTGGCCTAGAGGAGGGGCCCGGTGAACTGAGGTAGTGAATAACCACAAACAGAAATATTAGAAACACTCATACCTCAGGATTGGCAGGAGCTATTCTCTGCTTCCAGTGAGGGCCAGAGTTAGGTATGAGGACAGCAGGAGGGTGCAGGCTGGAAATAAGGAGAATTTTATTCATTAGGGAGAGCCCTGGGTGTCCTGCCACTCAGTGGCAAACCCAGATGGACCTGAGCTGCTGAAGAAAGGAGGCGGTTCTTTCTTCAAAGGACAAGGGTACCTGTGGCAGTTTTCCCCAGTCCAGACTGGTCCCACCGCGGTTCCCAGAAAGAGAGAGATCTCTGAGTTCACTTGGGGCTGTGCGTGTTGAACCAGGAAGGGCTCAGGAGGAGGCAGAGCTGAGGTGGCTGTGCCCACTGGTCAGGGCTCTGTGGGAGACAGTGACTGAGGGAGAATGACCAGGGGACCCGGGGGCACTGCACAGGGAAGTGCTCTCCTGGTGGCAGAAGCACAGTGCCAGCAAACAGTCCATCTGGTCTGGGGCAAGTGTCAAAGTCCCTCACACTTTTAGTCCCTTCCAGTGAGCAGGGTCTCCTGACTAGTTCTGTCTAGAAAATATAGGCAGAGATTACGTCACTTCCGGGCTGTGCAGTGAAAGCCCCACAGGTGCTTCTTTTGACTCCTCCCTTCCCTACCATGGGGGCTGAGGAGGCTATGAGGAGGCTGTGGGTTCCATATGGGGCTCCTACAAGGTGTGGAGCCCCCACCCATGTGTCAGTGACCTCACTGTATCTTATGGGAAATATAGTTTCATTAATATGCAAACTCCCTTTATTCTACGTTCCTCAATTTGGTTGTTTGTTGCCGCAGGATGACCTAATTCACTTCCCATCCTATCCTGTCCTATTCTATCCTAATTAGTTCCCTTCCTAAAAGGTAAGGCAAAGGGAGACAATCTTCATCTTTGCTTTAGTTATGTATTGTTGTGTGAGTTGTCACTCTAGAATTAGTGGGTTAACGCAACACGGGGTCTGGTCTCACAGTTTAGGGAGATCGGCATCCAGGTGTGGTTCAGCTGGGTCCTGTCACTCAGGTTCGCAGAGACTGGAATGAGGGTGTTGGCTGAGGCTGCCCCCAGCTCCCTGCCATGTGGGCCTCTCCACAGAGCAGCTCACAGCGTGGTAGCTGACTTCATCAGCCTGAGCAGGAGAGAGTGATGGAGACAGAGGGTGTGAGCCAGACAGAAGGGACACTCCATCACTTTTGCTGCATTTGCAAGTAATCAGTGCAGCCAATACTCCAGGGGAGGGCATTCCACAGGGCTGTGCACACAGTGGGGAGGCGTCCTTGGGAGCCACGTTAGAAGCTGCCTCCTGCAGTTATGCACTTAGCATATGTCAGAAAATGTGCCAGGTGCTTTTGATCTAGGATCTCATTTGATCCTTACTGTCATGATGGGGCAGGTAAGAAAACTGAAGATCTAGATGATTGTTTTGCCAATCTCTGGGACCAAAATGAAAAAAAAAAGAACAGTGAGGATCTGGGTGTTCAGGAACCTGCTCAAGATCACACTCCACTAGAACCAGAACTTGAGCCAGAATCGCTTCAAATTTCTTACACTTGGAAGCCCTCCCAGAATCGAGAAAGGATTTGGGATGGATTTCTAGGACTCTGAACCAAAGGTCTGTGTTTCTCTCATTTGTTCTTGATGAGAAGATACTGATGGTTTTTGTCTCCATGCCCTAGGTGTCTGCAGCTCTGCAGCCAACACTTCCGGAGCGCATGGCTCTGCTGTGAAGGATTCTGGAAACCACATTTATCTGAAGCGCATCCGAGGAGGTTCTGTCTTGTTTAATGTGACCGAGAAGCCCATGGCAGATGCAGGAGCCGAAATACAGGAGGTTTTATGGGGTTTGGGCACTCCGTTCAAGCACAGGCGGCTGCTGCAAGTCCGTAGAGGAGCCGACTCCCCCACCTGGTTGAGCCTCCAGGACAAGTTCAAGCAGAGGGTCCATGTGCCCAGCCTGTGGTCTCTGAGGATTGAGAACCTGGCCCCTGAAGACAGTGGGCCATACGTGGCCATGACCCGCTTAACTGATGGACAAATGCTTGGTCACGTTTTCTACCTGACTGTCTATGGTGAGTGACACGCTCCCCCATCCTCTGGCTTTCCTGCCTTTTTTGTCTCTAGAGAGTCACTTAGGCCCCTGCAGGGTTGCATTCAAACACTAGCCTTCAGACTTGATTTTCTCCACCAAGAATAAGGCACATGAGGTCCCCAGAATAGACAGGAGAGCTGAGATTCAGACCAGAGAATGAAGTTCTCTCAGTGTTTTGGGAGAGGAAATGGAAATTCAACTAAATAGCCATTTTCCCAGGAAGATTGAATCATATGTAGGATGATTTGCATAGCAGTATTTTATTTCAGATGTAACAAATTTCCAAAAATTAATGGCTGAAAGCAAGAAAAATTCATTATCTCACTGTGTTGTAGGCCAGAGGTCTGACAGTCTCTGAACTAAAATGAAGACGGGGCTGTGTTCTTTCCGGGGGCTCCAGGGAAGAGCCGGTTCTTTTTCCTTCTTCACCTGCTAGTGGCTGCCGGCATCCCACGGCTTGTGGCCATCGTCCTGTATCTTCTAACAGAACACTGATGTTAGTGTCCTACTAGGAGTGTCGGGATAATCTCCCTATTTTAGGTCAGCTGATTAGCAACCTTAATCCTATCTGTGACCTTAATTCCCCTTGCCTCGCAGCCTCACCTATTCCCAGGTTACCAGGACTGGGTCCTAGACATTTTGGAGGCCACTGTTCTGCCTCCCACAGTTGGGAATCCCTGTGAATGGAGTCCTCCCAGTCTGCTCTTCTCTCCCTCAGTCCCAGGCCAGCCTCAGTCACTCAAACCACCACAAATCCACATCTCACAGGCTTTGTAGGTGTAGGAGAAATTTTATACCACAACACATCTTAGGAAACTCATTTACCAGCTCATTCTTTCCCTAAAGTTCCTCTCTGCACAGGGAAATATTCTGCCATGGAGAGAGTGACTTTTGCAATTCTCGGTCCCATGTGATTTCTCAGGCTGGCCTATGAGTCTGACTCTTCTGTCTGCACCACAGGTTCAGTGCACTCTCTAGGCACATGCAGAGTTGTTGACCACAGGTTCAGTGCACTCTCTAAGCACACTGAGTCATTGACCACAGGTTCAGTGCACTCTCTAAGCACACTCAGAGTCGGTGACCACAGATTCAGTGCACTCTCTAAGCACACTCACAGTCGTTGACCACAGATTCAGTGCACTCTCTAAGCACACTCAGAGTCATTGACCACAGATTCAGTGCACTCTCTAAGCACACTCAGAGTCGTTGACCACAGATTCAGTGCACTCTCTAAGCACACTCAGAGTCGTTGACCACAGATTCAGTGCACTCTCTAAGCACACTCAGAGTCATTGACCACAGATTCAGTGCACTCTCTAAGCACACTCAGAGTCGTTGACCCCAGATTCAGTGGCACTCTCTAAGCACACTCAGAGTCGTTGACCACAGGTTCAGTGCACTCTCTAAGCACACTCAGAGTCGTTGACCACAGGTTCAGTGCACTCTCTAAGCACACTCAGGGTCGTTGACCCCAGATTCAGTGGCACTCTCTAAGCACACTCAGAGTCGTTGACCACAGGTTCAGTGCACTCTCTAAGCACACTCAGAGTCGTTGACCACAGATTCAGTGCACTCTCTAAGCACACTCAGAGTCATTGACCACAGATTCAGTGCACTCTCTAAGCACACTCAGAGTCGTTGACCACAGATTCAGTGCACTCTCTAAGCACACTCAGAGTCGTTGACCACAGGTTCAGTGCACTCTCTAAGCACACTCAGAGTCGTTGACCACAGGTTCAGTGCACTCTCTAAGCACACTCAGAGTCGTTGACCACAGGTTCAGTGCACTCTCTAAGCACACTCAGGGTCGTTGACCCCAGATTCAGTGGCACTCTCTAAGCACACTCAGAGTCGTTGACCCCAGATTCAGTGGCACTCTCTAAGCACACTCAGAGTCATTGACAACAGATTCAGTGCACTCTCTAAGCACACTCAGAGTCGTTGACCACAGATTCAGTGCACTCTCTAAGCACACTCAGAGTCGTTGACCACAGATTCAGTGCACTCTCTAAGCACACTCAGAGTCGTTGACCACAGATTCAGTGCACTCTGTAAGCACACTCAGAGTCGTTGACCACAGATTCAGTGGCACTCTCTAAGCACACTCAGAGTCGTTGACCACAGATTCAGTGCACTCTCTAAGCACACTCAGTCGTTGACCACAGGTTCAGTGGCACTCTCTAAGCACACTCAGAGTCGTTGACCCCACTGAACCTGTGGTCAACGACTCTGTGTGTGCTTAGAGAGTGCACTGAACCTGTGGTCAACGACTCTGAGTGTGCTTAGAGAGTGCCACTGAATCTGGGGTCAACGACTCTGAGTGTGCTTAGAGAGTGCACTGAATCTGTGGTCAACGACTCTGAGTGTGCTTAGAGAGTGCACTGAACCTGTGGTCAACGACTCTGAGTGTGCTTAGAGAGTGCACTGACCTGTGGTCAACGACTCTGATGTGCTTAGAGAGTGCACTGAATCTGTGGTCAACGACTCTGAGTGTGCTTAGACAGGCACTGCACCTCAGGTCAAAGACACTGAGTGTGCTTAGAGAGTGCACTGAACCAGTTTCAACGACTCTGAGCACACTCAGAGTCGTTGACCACAGATTCAGTGGCAACAGACTCGTTGAGTCAGTGCTCTAAGAGAGTCGTTGACCACAGACTCAGTGCACTCTCTAAGCACACTCAGAGTCGTTGACCACAGAGTTCACTGCACTCTCTGGCACACTCAGAGTCGTGACTCAGAGGTGCCACTGCACCTCTCTCAAGCACACTCAGAGTCGTGCCAGAGGTGCACTGACACTCTGTGGTCACACTCTGAGTCTGCCAGAGAGTGCAGTGCACTCTCTAAGCACACTCAGAGTCGTTGACCACAGTCAGTGCACTCTCTAAGTCACACTCAGTGCACTCTCTGCTCAGAGTCGTGCACTCAGTGGTCTAACACTCAGAGTCGTTGCACAGAGAGTGCACTGCACTCTGTGGTCACACTCAGAGTCTGACCAGAGAGTGCACTGATTCTGTGGTCACACTCAGAGTCGTTGCCAGAGAGTGCACTGCACCTGTGGTCAACACTCAGAGTGTTGCTCAGAGAGTGCACTGAACTGTGGTCAAGCACACTCAGAGTCGTGACCACAGATTCAGTGCACTGCACCTCAGAGTCACACTCAGAGTCGTGCTCAGAGAGTGCCACTGAACTGGGTCAACCACTCTGAGGGTGCTTAGAGAGTACACTGATCTGTGGTCACACTCAGAGTCGTGCCAGAGATGCACTGACCTGTGGTCAACGACTCTGAGTGTGCTTAGAGAGTGCCACTGAATCTGTGGTCAACGACTCTGAGTATGCTTAGAGAGTGCCACTGCACTCTCTAAGCACACTCAGAGTCGTTGAACAGAGCAGTGCACACTCTCTGACCACAGACTCAGTGAGTCTGACTCAGAGATGCACAGGTTCAGGCACTCTCTAAGCACACTCAGAGTCGTTGACCACAGATTCAGTGCACTCTCTAAGCACACTCAGAGTCGTTGACCACAGATTCAGTGCACTCTCTAAGCACACTCAGAGTCGTTGACCACAGGTTCAGTGCACTCTCTAAGCACACTCAGAGTCGTTGACCACAGGTTCAGTGCACTCTCTAAGCACACTCAGAGTCGTTGACCACAGATTCAGTGGCACTCTCTAAGCACACTCAGAGTCGTTGACCACAGATTCAGTGCACTCTCTAAGCACACTCAGAGTCGTTGACCACAGGATTCAGTGCACTCTCTAAGCACACTCAGAGTCGTTGACCACAGATTCAGTGCACTCTCTAAGCACACTCAGAGTCGTTGACCACAGATTCAGTGCACTCTCTAAGCACACTCAGAGTCGTTGACCCAGATTCAGTGCACTCTCTAAGCACACTCAGAGTCGTTGACCACAGGTTCAGTGCACTCTCTAAGCACACTCAGAGTCGTTGACCACAGATTCAGTGCACTCTCTAAGCACACTCAGAGTCGTTGACCACAGGTTCAGTGGCACTCTCTAAGCACACTCAGAGTCGTTGACCACAGATTCAGTGCACTCTCTAAGCACACTCAGAGTCGTTGACCACAGATTCAGTGGCACTCTCTAAGCACACTCAGAGTCGTTGACCACAGGTTCAGTGCACTCTCTAAGCACACTCAGAGTCGTTGACCACAGATTCAGTGGCACTCTCTAAGCACACTCAGAGTCGTTGACCACAGGTTCAGTGCACTCTCTAAGCACACTCAGAGTCGTTGACCACAGGATTCAGTGCACTCTCTAAGCACACTCAGAGTCGTTGACCACAGGATTCAGTGCACTCTCTAAGCACACTCAGAGTCGTTGACCACAGGTTCAGTGCACTCTCTAAGCACACTCAGAGTCGTTGACCACAGGTTCAGTGCACTCTCTAAGCACACTCAGAGTCGTTGACCACAGGTTCAGTGCACTCTCTAAGCACACTCAGAGTCGTTGACCACAGATTCAGTGGCACTCTCTAAGCACACTCAGAGTCGTTGACCACAGGTTCAGTGCACTCTCTAAGCACACTCAGAGTCGTTGACCACAGATTCAGTGCACTCTCTAAGCACACTCAGAGTCGTTGACCACAGATTCAGTGGCACTCTCTAAGCACACTCAGAGTCGTTGACCACAGGTTCAGTGCACTCTCTAAGCACACTCAGAGTCGTTGACCACAGGTTCAGTGTACTCTCTAAGCACACTCAGAGTCATTGACCACAGGTTCAGTGCACTCTCTAAGCACACTCAGAGTCGTTGACCACAGGTTCAGTGCACTCTCTAAGCACACTCAGAGTCGTTGACCACAGATTCAGTGCACTCTCTAAGCACACTCAGAGTCGTTGACCCCAGATTCAGTGGCACTCTCTAAGCACACTCAGAGTCGTTGACCACAGGTTCAGTGCACTCTCTAAGCACACTCAGAGTCGTTGACCACAGGTTCAGTGCACTCTCTAAGCACACTCAGGGTCGTTGACCACAGGTTCAGTGCACTCTCTAAGCACACTCAGGGTCGTTGACCCCAGATTCAGTGGCACTCTCTAAGCACACTCAGAGTCGTTGACCACAGATTCAGTGGCACTCTCTAAGCACACTCAGAGTCATTGACCACAGATTCAGTGCACTCTCTAAGCACACTCAGAGTCGTTGACCACAGATTCAGTGGCACTCTCTAAGCACACTCAGAGTCGTTGACCACAGGTTCAGTGCACTCTCTAAGCACACTCAGGGTCGTTGACCCCAGATTCAGTGGCACTCTCTAAGCACACTCAGAGTCGTTGACCACAGATTCAGTGGCACTCTCTAAGCACACTCAGAGTCGTTGACCACAGGTTCAGTGCACTCTCTAAGCACACTCAGAGTCGTTAACCACAGATCAGTGGCACTCTCTAAGCACATTCAGAGTCGTTGACCACAGATTCAGTGGCACTCTCTAGGCACACTGAGTCATTGACCACAGGTTCAGTGCACTCTCTAAGCACACTCAGAGTCGTTGTTCCCAGGCCCTATCACTGCATCTCTCACAGACGTGTGTACTTTTCTGATCAGGGACCTTTCTCTGTCCTTCCAGAGCTGGCCTAATTTCCTGCCCCATAAAGGCTGTGCAGTCCCAGGCATGGCCTCAGCTGGAGATGCGGGAGAACACTGGGCCAGCGCAACCCCATCGTCCCCAGACCTCTTCCTCTTCCTGAAGAGACCTCAGTTTTCTGCAAATGCTGTGCTTTGGGAAGGGGGACTTTCTTCTTTATTTTCCTTAGGACAGTTTTAAGACCTATTGAATCTAGAGAACCAACATGGAGCTGAACTCTGTGGCTTCCCTCCTTGTTTCATTAGCTCTGTATTTAGCTTTGGGCAAGCAGTGTTTTATGTGTAGAATACACACACTTGCATGCTGTGGCTGCAATGAGAAAATAATGAGGAATTGTGATGTACAATGTTCTCCATGCATGTGAGAGTCCCCTCTTTTGTCTCCTTCTGCCCCAGAGCCTGTGCCTCACCCTGAGATCCTGGCCAAGTCACTGTCTATCACACCAGGCCTGTGTAACATCACTCTGGAGTGTAGGGTTCCAGGGGCCACCCAGGATCTGAATGTGACTTGGGAGAGCAAGGGCCTCTTCAGAGAGCTGGAACAGAGAGACACACCAGGATCAACCGCCAAGCTTTGGACCCTGGCTGTGAGCCTGCCCCTGAGCCAGCGGATCGGCGATCTCACCTGTGTGGTCAGCAACCAGGTGGATCAGAAAGCTGCGACCTTAGACCTTGGGAAAGTCTGTGCCCAAGGTGAGTGGTGAGTATAGCCTGCAAGTTAGGAGGGGCTGTCCGAACTCAGGTAGCACTGGGGTCTGACAGTTCTGGGATCTCTCCCCACCATGAGCATCAGCACCACCTTCTACCTGCTCACCACGGACAGCACTGTGGGAGTCACCTCCACCTGACTTTGCCTGGAATCCTCCCTCCCATCTATACCCTCCTTGCCATGCCCCACAGCCTCCTTCCAGGAGCTCTCCCACCCCATCCATATTCTGCTGAATAGCCAGAGTAGGCTTTGGGAAAAGAGGGTCAGGTTGGGTGGTTTCTGTGGTATATGTGGGATCTGGCCTCCAGTTATTCCCCCATGGAATTCAGGGCTCAGATTCTCCTCTGCCCACATTTCTGGCCTCACGTATGCACTTCACATCAAACTGCTTGCTTATATTTCCCAAAATATGTCCTGCTTCTTGTAAGCTTCTCAGCTTCTGAACATGATATTTTACTCCATCAGCCCTCCCACAGCTTGTGGCAAGACTTCCCTTTTTATTTTTTCCAAGCATTCCTTCCGGCCATGGTCATTTTATAGGCATGAGACAGGTACAGCTACACAGGATCCCTGACGTAGCAGCATTCTATAGTTGGTTAAAATACTGCCATTGCTGCCTGGAAGTTTTTAATCAAGGGAATTTGAATTTGCATTACACAGTGCCCTGAAAATGATGTATGTTTCTGCAGTCAGGCCCACCTCCTGAGGGAGCTGTCCATGGCAGCCCACACTGAGCAGTATGATGTGCTGCCCTGTAGACTGCAACACCTTGATGTTTTCCTTCGAATCCCTGTGCCAAGCACAGCTCCTGTAACACTTGCTCACAATCAGTGTTCACTGAATGAATGAATGACCTGATACCGTGTATACAGCCTAGTCCTCTCCAACTCTTCCTCCAGGTTCTGCTGGGCTATCTGATGTGTCAACATGTCTTTAAATCACCCTGACTCCTATCTAGAAATGTTAAGCACTTAGTGTGACCACAAGGCCCTCTGGCCACAGACTCCTCCCTCCCTCTGACTCTCCTTGTCACGGTTCCTCCCTGCCCTGTCCTTTCATGCTGCAGTGGGGTGATGGCAAATCCCAGAGATGGTGTCTTGACACAGCCATTTCCCGACCTTGGTGCTCCTATTTCCTGGAATGCCCCATCCTTAATATCTGAAAATCTCATAGTCCCCCCTGAAGCCTCAGTTTAGCCAGCAACTCCTCTGGAGGCCTGCCCTGAAGACCTTGCACAAGGTGGAAACCTCTATTGCAGCTGCGATCCCTGTGTCTGGCAGTTGGTATTCTCTGTCTTCCCTCCTGTGTGCTGGGCTGCTGTGCACATTTTCTTGTGCATCTCAGCATCCCTGGCACTAAGCAGCAGCTCCTAACCAGTTGAATGAATGGACCTGCCATGCTCCTCCCTCTGCAGCTTCTGCACCAGCCTCCTTCCCACTTGTCCACCTGCTCTCCCCCCTTGTCTTTCCTTTGGCAGTCAGTGTCTCAGATTATCTCCTGTCTTAACATTTCCACTCTCCCCATGTGACTGGAACAGGTTTACACAAACAGGATGTGACTAGACTGCTGCCAGGCATCCTAGGGGCTTCTGTGGCTGTGCTGTTAGTCCTGGGAAGTGGGCTGTATGTTTTGAAGACATGTCAGAAGAAGAAGATGGTGATGGAAATAAAAAGGGGTAAGTTGCATTTCTCCTGACATGCCCAGACACCTCCCTTCCCTCACTAAAACCTCAGCTTCTTTTTTTCTGAATATTATTCCCAGCGAGTGGACTCTGCTGAGGGAATGATGGCCGTGGTCTTGGCCTTGGGGTTCATGGCAGTGGGGAGGGCTACAGGTTTGTAAGACACAGATTCGAGCTTTGATTTTGTCAGGTGGAGGATTGCAGAAGAACCATGGGGTTGATGATGGTGGCATCCCCTTTGAGACGCTCAGCCAGCAAGTGCAAGGTGAGGGCAAGGACAAGGTGAGTGCCAGGGCACTGGCCACCCTGGGAACTCCCACGTCTCTCTGCCCAGCCTTGGGCTTCCAATTCCAGGAGCTGTCACTTCTGGTCCAACTGCCTATTTATCTATATCTGGATAATCAACAGTATTGACTAAGAAAATTTACATCTGGGTGGATGTAGTGCTGAACACTTTAGAGGAATTCATAAGCAGTGCATGGCAGTGGGTACTGGCCCTGCGGGTCCCTGCAGATTCATTCCATCCTTCAGCTGATCCAGCAACCTCTGTGTTGTATTTCAGAGCATCGGTGAACAATATCTGGGAAAAAAGGAATCTCTCATTACTACCTGCAGTGAGGTCTGTTATCCAGACCAGACGATGGAGATCATTTGATTGGAGGAAGCAGGAGGATCTGGCACTCCCAGGACACCTGCACTCTGAGCCTAAGTCCTGCAGACCCCTGCCTTTCCCAGCTCTGATTCAGTTCCAGCTTCCCCTTGTGTGTGTTGAATTGTCAGAGGCTGCAGTAAATGTACTCCCTTGGAGAGGCATCGCTGCCAACATTTCTGAAAGGCTATGTCAGTACCAGTGGGGCCCCTGCAACAATACTTGCCATCCAGCCTGGACTTTCTTGGACCAAATCAATCAATCTATCTTTGCCAAAATCAGATGAAATGTCAACTCCAACCTTGCCTTGCATCAAAAGCCTTGGTATCCTGCCCAATATGCCTAAAACGGCATATACTGGGAGACTACTGTGCTGGTAGCTGGTCTCCATATAGCTCCCCTTTGTTTGGAGACTTTAAATGGCTACGCTAATGCCACTCTGGGGTTTCCCCCACCAGACAATTGTCAACACATACTCCAAATCAATAACACTACCCCCAACGAAACACAGTCTCTTTCCTACTTCAATAGCACCTTATACACTCTAATTATAGTGAAACCATTGCTATCCCCTGGGGGCCCTCTGGCTATGCAGATCCTGTGGGTGGTGATACCTGCCTCCACATTGGACAGGGACATGCACTGAGGGTGGCCATTAATTTTATTCATGGTCTGGGATAATATTCCCCTCCCCAGTAATCTAGATGCTTGCAAACCTCACTGGTTATGAATGTGCCAGACTCTTTTTTGGTGGGACCCTATCACAGCATTCTTTCCCTGCCACTGGTACAATCCTGTTTCAGCAACAAATTAAAATAGTAAGCTTATATGTAGTAAAAGCTCTTAATGATAGTAGCACTAAACTTGTGTTGTCGTTGGATGAATTTGCTCAGCTGCATACTGTTGCATTGCAAAATCGAATGGAATTAGATACGTTTACCGCAGTCCGAGGAGGGGTTTGCACCTTACTGTATACTGAATATTGTATGTATATCCCTGACAATTCTCACAATATTACCCTTCTTGCCCAAGACATGCAAAAACAAGTAAAACAGTCAGAATCTAACCATCAGCATCCCATCATGGACTGACTGTCCAGCTGGCATTGGCACTGGCCATGGTAGGTGTGGATTTTATTAATTATGCTTCTAATTTTCCTATGCTTGTCCTGTATGTGTAACCTATATCAACTATGTATTCCTGGTTTATCTGTAAGGTATTTTCCTTATAACTGAGTACTAAATTGAGGCCAAATGTGGAGCAGAAGTTAAATATTAAATTTAAACTCAATTGAACATGGACACAAACCAGATAACTTCTAATCTTATGGCCTTGGGCAGTCTAGTCTACAGACATGAAGGAAGTTTGTTTGGGAAAAAAATATTGAAGAATAATTTATAGAAAAAAGAACTGTATATGGTAAATTCTTATCCTAAAAGTAATTAACTGATTTTTTTTTTTGAGACGGAGTTTTGCTCTTGTTACCCAGGCTGGAGTGCAATGGCGCGATCTCGGCTCACCACAACCTCCGCCTCCTGGTTTCCGGCAGTTCTCCTGCCTCAGCCTTCTGAGTAGCTGGGATTACAGGCACGTGCCACCATGCCCAGCTAATTTGTTTTTTTTTTTTTTGTATTTTCAGTAGAGATGGGGTTTCACCATGTTGACCAGGATGGTCTCAATCTCTTGACCTCATGATCCACCTGCCTCGGCCTCTCAAAGTGCTGGGATGACAGGTGTGAGCCACCGCGCCCAGCCTAATTACCTGATTTATTAAAAAAAATATACTTACAAGTCAGAAAGTTGAAGCTTGTCAAAAATTGTCTGTAAAAGTCATAAAAATTTTGTAAAAAACTTTATGCAAGAAATGTTGTACAATTTAATTGTAAAATAAATTCTGTGTATAAACATATTGGCTAAAGTTGAAGGGGTCTCATCCAGTTTTTCTGTAAAATAAGCATTAAAATAATAGCACAATGGATTTCTCTTAAGGCACTAACTTAAAGCTCTTTAACAAAAATTATGAAGGTTTAAAAAGGGTCTGTAAAAATCTTACCTTATGGTCAAACATAAAATTTTTTTTCATTCTTCTGTATATGGGTTAACCTGTTTTCCCAGCACCATTTATTTAATAGGGAGTCTTTTCTTTACTGCCTATTTTTTTTCAGGTTTGTTGAAGATCAGATGGTTATAGGTGTCTGGCTTTCTGTCTGAATTTTCTGTTCTCTTCCATTGGTCTATGTGTCTGTTCTTGTACCAGTACCAGTACCATGCTCCAGTATTATGCTGCTTTGTCTACTGTAGCCTTGTAGTATATTTGGAAGTTGGGTAGCATGATGCCTTCAACTTTGTTCTTTTTGCTTAGGATAGCATTGGCTATTCAGGCTCTTTTATGGTTCTTTAAATTTTTTTTTAAGCTGCTTGACTTTGAGGATATCCTCTGTTATAAAACTAACTTGAATTGTAGAGTCTCTCCATTTTTTTTGAAAATTGGAAATAATATAACATACCTTATATAGTGTTCATAGTGGGTATTTAAAAATGGTCACTATGATTGTTTCTTTAATGAATCAACAAATGTGGAAGTCCCAAAGACGAGTCCCAATATAGTTTTTAAAGATCAATGCTGTTTCAAATTTTTAAGTGGTAATTCCTCTTTTTAAACATCAAGGAGGAAGTGAAGGCTAAGAGAGAATAGTCAACAGCGTGGTTGAGTGAAAAAGTCACACCCCAAAACGCACCGAGCTCCTCAGCAATGCCTGAGAGACTTTTTGGTTCCAGGTGTGTGTAACAGAGGATTTTTACCTTGCCTAAAGAGAGGTCCTGCTGCTTCTCTTGGCTTCTGGGAAGCAATCTTTTACTGCTTGGAACATCATGCCTGATAGGAATGTCTATTTTCCAGAAGCTTGTGGTCACTGGTATGGCTGCATCCAGACCCATTTCACATGCAAGGATACACAAAGACTCAAAACAAAGGGATGAAGAAAGATTTACCAACCAAAAGGAGAGCAAAAATAAATAAATAAATAAATAAAAAGCAGGAGTCACAATTCTCGCATCTGATAAAATAGATTTTAAAGCAACAAAGATATAGTGGTAAAAGGATCAATGCAACAATAAGAGCTAACGATCTTAACACCCAGATACATAAGACCTATAAAGAGACTTAGACTCCCTAGACTCCCACACGATAATAGTAGGAGACTTCAACATCAGTATTAGATAGATCAACAAGACAGAAAATTAATAAGGATATCTAGGACTTGAACTCAGATCCGGAACAAGTAAACTTAATAAACATTTATAGAGCTCTCTACTTTAAATACACAAAATATACATTCTTGTCAGTACCACATCACACCTACTCATAGCTTTAAATGAAATATTGATTGGCCATTTTTAAGCACAATTATTGGCATAAAAGAGCTTTGCAATACCCATTTTTAGAATAAAGCAACATTCCTGTTCTCTCTCCCTCTTTTTCTTCCTCTCCTTCACTCCTTTTTTTTCTTTCTTTCCTTCTCTCCTTTCTTTAAAAAAAAAAAAAAAAAAAAAAGCTAAGGATTTCAATCCTGCAGTATCAGTTGACCTCTGGAGTAGCTGGAGACTGATATCTGTCACCTGAACAATCAACCATCATGACTACATGGTGGAGCTGCAATAAAAGTCTCAGCATTAAGGCCTAGGTGAGCTTCCCTGGTTGGAAAAACTGAGTATCTGTCATACACCAGTGCTTGGAAAGGAGCACTGGTGGAGTAGTATCCTGACTCCATGAGGAGGGAACAACTGGAAACTGCATTTGGTCCTTTTTGTGGACTCTACCTTATGAATCTCTTGTTTTGTCTGATTTATATCTGTATATTTTGCCTGTAATCACCCATAAACTTGAGTGCAGTAGCTTCAGTGAGCTCTTTGAAACCTTTTAGCAAATTTTCGAACTTCAAGGTGGTTTTGGAATTTCTTGAACTTGCAGTTGGTGTCAGACGTAAGAGAGAGCTCGTGTGGACCTTGACAAAAGTTGTAACAACACAAAGTTTGTAGCAGGTTCACTCTCACAGTTGGAATCAGAAGTGGATTCACTAAAATGATCCTGCCTCAATACACGTGATTTGGGAGGAGGAAGAATGAGAGGCAGGGGATAATGAACCTTTGTTTCCTGCAAGGCAACAGGGTTATCAATAATGTGGAACTGTACCTGTGCTATAATTATTTACTGGACATAAAAGTTGCTAATAGAATTAAAAATGACAGATTCAGCTCCTGAGTTGGAGGCTCACTGGATGCATAAGAAACTGCAGAGTACCAAGAAGATGGCTAAATGTACAATCCCTTGGTTATTTTCATTTGAAATTACTCGAATGAAAGTAAAGAAGAATGTTAGAGTGCATTCTGACACTGGGCAAAGCTGAGATTCTGAGTGGTCCAAGCTATCGTCACTGGCCTCCGGGCTGTTTCTAATGGGAAAAGTGTTGACAAAAGTAAAGCACCTGGGGTAGATCCTCAATCTGGGCCGGCCTTAAAGGTCTGAGCTACAGCCACTAGCCTCAGGGCCACTACCAAATAGAAAAGTTTCGCTTGAACAAAGATAATGGGAGACTCAGAGTGATTTGAAAGAGAATAGGGGTCATGCACAGTGGCTCATTCCTGTAATCCCAGCACTTTGGGAGGCCTAGGTGGGTGGATCACTTGAATTCAGGAGTTTGAGACAAGCGTGACCAACATGGTGAAACCCTATCTCTACTAAAAATACAAAATTGAGCCAGGTGTGGTGATGTATACCTTTAATCCCAGGTACTCAGGAGGCTGAGGCAGGAGAATCACTTAAACCCAAGAGGCAGAGGTTGCAGTGGGCTGATATGGTGCCACTGTACTCCAGCCTGGTTAATAGAGCAAGACTCCATCTCAAAAACAAAAGAAAAAAAAAAAAGAAAGAAAAGAGAATAGGGAAAAATTGGAGAGGTGTAGTGAGTGAAGTTCCTCTCTCTAGCAAGATGGAAATTCTTAAGTGTTTATTAAGAAGTGGGAAGAACTTTGGGAGGCCGAGGCGGGTGGATCAGGAGGTCAAGAGATCGAGACATTTTGGTCAACATGATGAAACCCCGTCTCTACTAAAAATACAAAAAAAATTAGCTGGACATGGTGGTGCGCACCTGTAATCCCAGCTACTCAGGAGGCTGAGGCAGGAGAATTGCCTGAACCCAGGAGGCGGAGGTTGCAGTGAGCCGAGATCACGCCATTGCACTCCAGCCTGGGTGACAAGAGCGAAACTGTGTCAAAAAAAAAAAAAAGAAGTGGGAAGAATAAAGAGAACTTTAACGGAGTCAAAATAAGGGTCTTAATGTGGCATCTTCAGACATGGGGAGGAGCAGTGTAAGTCACTACAAGTTCTCCAACACCGAAGGGTGTTAAGCTGATCTGTTTATTCACCCTACTGTGTGAAAATTTTAAAAAGCCAGAGGGCAAAGATGACAATGAGAAACTCGTCCACCTAATGCCTAAAGTGATTGATGTTCCCTCAATTTACTTATGATAAGAATTGACAGAAGGGCCTGGCCTCTTGGCACAACACTGGGTGGGGACCCACGAACATAGGCACACGAGTGTGTAAAATACGCAGTGGACACTACAATGTCTGGGTCTTCTTACCACGGATGAAAATTAGAATGCTTGAACAGACGTCACGTAAAGTAGTTGCAGCTCTTGTAGGAGGTAACAAGAAAGCTTTCTCTTGACTAGTTCTATCAGGGTCAGCAAGCAGTTGGTACTCCAGGCTTGATAAAATTTAGGTTTACTCCTTTTTTTTAATTGCATTTTAGGTTTTGGGGTACATGTGAAGAACATGCAAGATTGTTGCATAGGTACACACGTGGGAGTGTGATTTGCTGCCTTCCTCCCCATCACCTATATCTGGCATTTCTCCCCATGCTCTCTCTCCCCAACTCCCCACACCCCACTGTCCCTCCCCTATTTCCCCCTGACAGACCCCAGTGTGTGATGTTCCCCTCCCGTGTCCATGTGTTCTCATTGTTCAACACCCGCCTATGAGTGAGAACATGCAGTGTTTGATTTTCTGTTCTTGTGTCAGTTTGCTGAGAATGATGTTCTCCAGGTTCATCCATGTCCCTGCAAAGGACACGAACTCATCATTTCTGATTGCTGCATAGTATTCCATGGTGTATATGTGCCACATTTTCCCTATCCAGTCTATCATCGATGGGCATTTGGGTTGGCTCCAGGTCTTTGCTATTGTAAACAGTGCTGCAATGAACATTCTTGTGCATGTGTCCTTATAGTAGAACAATTTATAGTCCTTTGGATATATACCCAGTAATGGGATTGCTGGGTCAAATGGAATTTCTATTTCTAGGTCCTTGAGGAATCACCACACTGTCTTCCACAATGGTTGAACTAATTTACCCTCCCACCAACAGTGTAAAAGTGTTCCTATTTCTCCACATCCTCTCCAGCATCTATTGTCTCCAGATTTTTTAATGATCGCCTCATGTAGCATTTTTAGAGGATTCTTGGAGCTCCCTCCTTCCCTATGCTGAGGATCTGTCTCTTACCTTCTCACAGGCAATGTACTCTCAGTGTGGCCATTTGTTCTTTCTCTTTGGTCCCTGATTCCTTGATACACCTGGAGATGCACTGCACAGGTGCCTGACTCACACCTGAGAAACTCAAAGAGGAGACGCTGCTGAAACAGCCTATGGCTTCAGAGTCAGGACTGCCAGTGGGGAAAGTGTGTCCCCATTGAGGAGTCAAATGCGCATGCACCAAACTCTCTGAATGGTCTCATTGACGCTCCTCTCTCCAGGCTTGAGGTGAGGGACAGACACTGGTGGTGGAAGGGGATGCATGGCATAGCTTTCGCCAAATGAATTCTCTTCCTCTTATTTTAAAATCTTAACTTTTCATGCCACCAGT